CTTTTCTTTTGTAATTATTATTCACATATTTATTTTGTAGACAATGCATTTGGCTCCGGAGTGCGCGGGCACTGCGGACGGCCAAAGTCCACAGCCCAACCTGCAGGAAGTGCTCTTCGTCATGGGTGGTCGCTCCCTGGATGACGACTCCGACGACGATTCGGACGACGAAGATAGCGAGCGAGCGAGAGAGCGCAGAGCTCAGCCCAGGAACTGCGCCTTTTACAACACCAAGACAAGTACGAGCACTCCTTAAGGACTCAAATAAATCCCTCGTCTCAATTTGAGGCTGTTTACCGTTTTTTTCTGGTGACTTTCAAAGCTACTTTGTGTGTCCCTGTACTATAGTCCAAACTCCAAATGTTTTTTTTTTTAAATTTCACTTCTTGTGCTGAGACATTTGTCCATGTATGCTCTGTTTATGCGTTTTAAGAATGGCTTTCCATCTTTTAAGGCTACTTTCTGTCACTTGTGGCGACTTTCGATAAATTTGAGGCTACTTTCCCTCCTTTGCGGCTCTACGTCCCAATACTTTAGCCCAAATTCCCATTTTTTTTCCCCTTTTAACTTCCTGGCCCTTTCCCAAATCTTTTGCTGAAACTCAATATATTTTGTCTCCCAAATTAATTTGCCCACGTTTGTTGTCTTTCCAGAACAGTGGCATGAGCTCCCGAATTTCCCCAACCCCAACAAATGGGGCTTTTCTATGGTGTCGCTGAATAATGACGTCTACGTCACAGGTGAGCAGTCGTCCCTCTGAATGTCTGCGTTGGCGTCATTTTAGCGCTCAAACAAAATGTCTCTCTCCCCTGTAGGCGGCTCGCGGGGCTCCAACACCAACACCTGGTCCACCACGGAGACATGGAAGTACATCACCAAGGAGGGGCGCTGGGTCACGGTGGCGCCCATGCTCCGACCTCGCACCAATCACTCATCGGCCACGCTCAACGGAGAGATTTACGTCATTGGAGGTGAGTGAGAAAATGGACAAACTGCCCGTATTTTTTTTCCACGTTTTCAACTTCCTTTTGGGTGTCCCAATTGCCAAGATGTATTTCACGTTTTTGTGAGTATCCCAATAGTCTTACCCAAGCTCCGCATGTTCACTTCCTGGATAATTTGGTCCAATTCCGATCTTTTCCTTGTGTGTGCATATTCAGGTACGACGTTGACCCGCGTGGAGGTGGAGCGTTACGACCCGTACCACAACACCTGGACCGCTACGTGTCCCGCCGTCAAGTACGTGACCAATTTCACGTGTACGGCGTGCCAGGGAAAGCTCTACGTTATCGGCTCCTGTGCCGTCAAGTACAACCCTTTGACCATGCAGTGCTACAACCCCGTCATAGGTGAGGACACGCAAGGTCATTTGAGGGGACTTTTCATTATTTACTTACGTTTTCACACAAGCAGCAGAAAGGTGACGTGTGCATCCTTTAGTTCTGTTTTTTTTTTTCCCAGATAGCTGGATGAGTATCTGCTCCCCATTCATCCCCAAGTACCTTTCATCTCCTCGCTCGGTGTGCATGGAGGGAAACATCTACCTGCTGGCCGACAACACCAAGAAAGTCTACTCCTACGACCCCGATGCCAACATGTGGCAGAAGGTGCCAGCTCACGAACAGACTGTGGAGCATCGCTATATTGCGCATGCTAGCACTTAACCAGAAATGATTGAAATACACACCATTTGTTTCCACTAAAATGACCTTTAGAATTTTCATTCGGATATCCCAGCAGGAATTTGTCAAAAATTTTGAAATATCACTTTTGAAATATTCAATTATTTTGAGAAATATAATTACCGGTATTTATTATATTCTTGATATATTTTATTATTACATGATTAAAATAGAATACTGAATCGGCTCCTGTGCCGTCAAGTACAACCCTTTGACCATGCAGTGCTACAACCCCGTCATAGGTGAGGACACGCAAGGTCATTTGAGGGGACTTTTCATTATTTACTTACGTTTTCACACAAGCAGCAGAAAGGTGACGTGTGCATCCTTTAGTTCTGTTTTTTTTTTTCCCAGATAGCTGGATGAGTATCTGCTCCCCATTCATCCCCAAGTACCTTTCATCTCCTCGCTCGGTGTGCATGGAGGGAAACATCTACCTGCTGGCCGACAACACCAAGAAAGTCTACTCCTACGACCCCGATGCCAACATGTGGCAGAAGGTGCCAGCTCACGAACAGACAGTGGAGCATCGCTATATTGCGCATGCTAGCACTTAACCAGAAATGAATGAAATATATTCCATTTATTTCCGCTAGAATAACCTTTAGAATTTTCATTCGGATATCCTAGCAGGAGTTTGTCTAAAATTCCTTTTTGAAATATTCCATTATTTTGAGAAATATAATTATTTATTATATTCTTGATGTATTTTATTATTACATGATTAAAATAGAATACTGATGATGACAATCAATTTTGTCCCCGGGCGGTCACCCTTCATCAGTTTTGAGATGAAGGGTGACATATTTAATCACATTTGCTCTATGCTACGTTTGGATGTGTTGCTGCTAGCCCATCTATGACGTTTCGCATTGTATGTTAGCATTAAGCTAATAGACTCGCTTTTGACAAAAGGATATGATTTGATGGGCCATTTTTGGAAGTTCGCCTCTTATTTGGTGATCCGTTTTGGAACATATAACCCACAAAACACTTTAACGGCTTTTCTGGGACGATATCATCATAGCGCTACTCCTCTTCTTGTTCTTCCGTAGATCCAGGATTAAAATAGAATACTGATGATAACAATCAATTTTGTCCCCGGGCAGTCACCCTTCATCAGTTTTGAGATGAAGGGTGACATATTTAATCACATTTCATCTATGCTACGTTTGGATGTGTTGCTGCTAGCCCATATATGACGTTTCACATTGTATGTTAGCATTAAGCTAATGGACTCGCTTTTTGACAAAAGGATATGATTCGATGGGAATTTTTGGGAGTTCGCCTCTTAGTTGGTGATCCGTTTTGGAACATATAACCCACAAAAACACTTTAACGGCTCTTCTGGGACGATATCATCATAGCGCGACTCCTCCTCTTGTTCTTTCGTAGATCCAACTGCTCCACATGCTGCACGAGAACGGCGGACTGGTGTCGCTGGACGGGAGGCTGTACGTGACGGGTGGCCACTGGAAGGGCATGGAGGGTGACTACGGCGTGGAGGTGGAGGTGTACAACCGGGCCTCCGACACCTGGGAGGTGGAGGGGGTTCTGCCCAGACTCTGGTTCTACAGCGGCGTATCCACCATCTTCCTCGACCCCTCCAACTGGCCTCACATCTTCCCCGCAGACGACACGTAGGTGATGTCACGTGATGGGTGGAGGAGCGAGAGCTTTGTGGTTGTTTAGTTACACGCAGTGGCGCCTGGACAAATGCACCAACTTTATGATTTTTTTTCCAGTGACGAACAGTCGCTTGGTCCATTTTTGGCTTTGCGTGTGTCGGACACGCTGCCGCTTGAAGCAATACTAGGCACTGTTATGCCCTCGCATGTGGGCAAGGAGAGCCAAAGTTGCCAATGCACTTTCAGCTATTTGCTCAACAGGAGAAACAAGTCAAAACAAACAATTGATTTTTTTTTAATACAGCTTAATTCTTCTACAATTATGACTTTATCCTTGTAAGGTTGTACTTTTTTCTCTAAAAGTACAACTGAAATATACTCTATTTATTCTGCCTTTTTCTAAATACATAAAATAAATGACTTTATTCCTGTAAGATTCCGACCTAATGTTTTTCATTACAACCGCATTTTTGAAAATTACGCTTTGTGATAAGCCACACGTTCATTCTCATACAACTGATATTAATCCCGTTCTGTAATTTTTATGCATTTATTTTCAAAGTGTCCCTCGTCATTTGTGGTAATTTTTATGCTTTTTGGACTGAGAAATAAAAGAATAAAATGGCATAACGTGGTATTGTGATCATTAACCCTTGAGGAATCCAGTCCTAGTCGAGGCTGCCAGGGCAATAGTCAAACAACACTCAGTTGACCTAGCAACGACCCCCACCCAGGACATATGTGAGGTCGTCATGGCAACCGCTGGTCCAGATCAGTGGTCGCAGGGACGCCAAAATCTCTGCTGCCGACGAAAGAGTTTGACCAACAACTTTTGTTCTACTTAATTTTATTAAGAGTATTTTCTTAATCCAATTTTTGGGTTGCGTGGGTGATATGAGTTCCTCGCTGGAGGAAGACGGCACACATTCACCTACACTGGACCTTGTCATTCAGGTTGGTAAACTTCTATTTTTGTACAGCTTGTTTCATTATTGAATTGTTGAGGTTTACAAAATGTATTCATTTGTTAAGCGTGTATATACAACTGGAAATAATTTATTTCTTTACTTTGCTTTTTAAACGTGTGTGGGTAAATGTTAATTCGTGATTACTGTAAAATGTTGCGCGTCTACATCGCATGTAGTGCGTTGTAATATTTGCGCCGTCTCGTAACTTTGGGTTGGTAATTAGTGACTTTTCAGTGTCGCATTTGTTTAAAACGACTTTTAAATCACTAAAACAACCACCACGATTAAATTATTTATGAACGAAATAATTACTTTTATAATAGTTTACCGGCTATTTACAGCAGCGGAAATAAATGAAGACAACTTCCGCGTTCGACTTCCCGGTTCCAGCGTCCTCGAAAATCAATTTTCAAGTGAGTTTTATATCAATTACAATAGCTGTTTTAACTTTTTTTGCCTTATATGTTGTGAGTCGTGTTCTTCTAAGAAACATCACTCATTTGACAAAAAAAAAACAAAAAAACGAAACAGTTTAACATGTGCAGACGTTCAAGTGTACGTGCTAATTGTTAATTGCCATGCTAACAACAAGAATAAATGTACCGTCGTATATAAAAAAGGACATTTTGAATATTAATGTTTTAATGAAACAATATGAGAAACATGATTGTGGTGGTTCGACACATTATCCAAGTATGAAAACATTGACAAATAATGAACAATAGGGGAGACTTTAGAATGACCCGTGGTTAGACCAATTAGCTTGATGTCCTCCTTGAGATGACTAAAATTATATGTCAACAATTACAAGGAAAACGCAAAATAAATAAATAAAATATCTGTTAGATTTAATATATAAGTTGTTCATCAGCAGGGAGGGACAAGGCAAAACAATATATATATTTTTTTTTAAAGAATATTTAGGAATCACGCTTACGACAGATAGAGTTGGTCTCGGGACAACTATAATTGACACCACAAGTGCATGTTTGTGTAGTCTGTGCATGGAATTTTTGAAAATTTCATGAGGGGGAACAGAAAATGTCCTCCAATTCTGGAATGGCACAAGAAATAGTTCCACTTTAACCACCTTGATACTTTGTATGTGGATCTTAAATATCAAATAAATGAGTACTCCTGCAAGACAACGAGCATCTACAAATGTTTAACCCTAAATGAGCCCAAACACATTTTAAAATGCCTATTTTTAATCGCTGTCAATGAATTGCAGAAATTAGAGGAGTCTTTGCTTGACTTTGAGAGCCATGAACCGAACTCCGGAGTTGCACCGGCACCGGTGTCAACCTGCATCCACCGTATTATCACCAGGAACCTGGCCGAGTTGCCTGACGGTCGGTTGGCAAGACAAAGACTCCAAAAGCACTTTGGGGGAAAAAGTGAATTTTTGGTGTTATTTGCTTTCCTGGTAGCAGATAAGGCAGCCATGGAGGAGAACCTACAGGATGCGGATTCTTTGACTGTGATGGTCTGTAAGGAGCAAGTCAAACAGTGCAGCCTCACGAAGAAGGTAACAAGTGGCGCTCTAAAACTTCACTCGTAAGAAATGGAAAATATGTCACTCAAACCTGGAAGTGGAGGACTTAAGTTATTTCATGGAGAGTTTATTGAAGAGTCATTGAAAAACTGGTAATCCTATGACAAAATATTCCCCCCCAACACAAAAAGTCATAAAAAAAAATACAAGAAAAGAAGAGACTCTTACTTTGACTATGAGAGCAAAATCACATTTTCTTGAGAACAAGTCAGAATCTAAACTAAACTTTGTTTGAAACCAACCTTGTATTGTTTTGTGTAATTCTGTGAAATTTAACGTTAGTAGCAGGAATATGTAAGATGTGACGTCCAAAGATTTTTCTGACTTTCGAAACTTTCTTCGAAAATTTTGGACGTTTGTTGGACTTCAGGGGGCATTTTGGACTCGGCATTAGAATGACGACGATTACCAAACCCTTTGTGAATGTAACTGTAAAAGCTTTTGCGAAAGACGGAGTCCATGAAGGCTCCCCCTGTGGGGACCGCCGTCTCCTTCGTGTCCCCCCTCCCCTCCTGCCGTCACGGTGTAGAAAAAGGTCCTTTTTTTTAACCTGCCACACAAAGTCACCGTTTGTGACAACACTGCACGCATTCTGTCTGCTCAACCAGACTATAAAAGTCAGTTCATTAGTTTGACACTTATGTTTACACTTACCTCATGGGGATACATTTAAGTCCTTGCTAGCAACCAGATGTATACGCTAGGTTGTTGTGCAATTCTGACACACATATTACACTTGGGCTCAGACCAAAACCAGGAATCCAAGCCTTTACTGGACAATGGAAGCAATCACTTACAGCTGTTGTTTTCATAATTGTGTACTTTTTTTATCGAAGAATAATAAATAGGCTTTACTCTGCGATATCATCAAAGGTAAGATGGCATGTGTCTATTCCCATACCGGGAGTTGAACCCGGGCCACCTGGGTGAAAACCAGGGATCCTAACCACTAGACCATATGGGAAAGTGCAGGAGTAACTCTAGGTTTTCCTCACCAAACCAGGAGTCCTAATTGGACCAATTTGTGCCCTCCCAAAATGGTCAAAATTGAAAGATTCGTTTGCGTACTGGAATCGGGCCCGGAATCCAAACCACGAACGGACAGTTGTATACATGACTTACAATTATTGTTTTGGAAATAGTGGAGTTATTTTTCACCGCCCGAGTATAAAATACTGAGTTTTCTCTGCAAGATGTTTGTTCCCACACCGGGAGTTGAACCCGGGCCACCTGGGTGAAAACCAGGTATCCTAACCGCTAGACCATATGGGACAGTGCTTGAGTGGTTCTAGTAAGTTTTCCTCACCAAACCAAGAGTCCTAATTGGACGAATGCCCTCTTTCCCAAATCATCGAAATAGTAGTAAGATTTGTTTCCGTATTAGAGTCGAGCCAGGAATCCAAACCACTAACGGACAGTGGGATCTATCACTAACACAAATTGTTTTCAAAATAGTGGACTTTTTTCCAAGTATAAAGTATTGGCTTTACTCTGCGATATTATCAAAAGTAAGATGGCAGATGGCTGTTCCCATACCGGGAGTTGAACCTGGGCCACCTGGGTGAAAACCAGGGATCCTAACCGCTAGACCATATGTGACGAAGCGTGATTGGTTCTAGTAAGTTTTCCTCACTGAATCAAGAGTCCTAATTGTCCAAATGTCTCCCTCTTACCAAAATGGTAGCAAGATTTATTTCGTGCTGGAGTTGAGAATCCAAACCACGAACTGACAGTGATATACATCACTTACACTTATTTTTTCCAAAATAGAGGATTTTTTTTTTTTATATTAAATATTGGCTTTTTTCTGCTAGTTGTCTGTTCCCACACCGGGAGTTGAACCCGGGCCACCTGGGTGAAAACCAGGTATCCTCACCGCTAGACCATATGGGACAGTATTAGACGCCTTGAGGAAGGTTTTCCTCACCGAACCAGGACTTCGAACGGCCCAATTTCTCGTCTTCCAAAATGGTCACTATCGTACTGGAGTCGGGGCCGGAATCCAAACCACTAACGGACAGTGGTGTACTACATCACTTACACTTATTATTTCCTCGTATAAAGTGTAGTTTTTTTTCTCTGCAAGATGGCAAATTACATGGAGACTCCACACCCGCAACAGTATTTGAACCCTGGTTGCCTGGGTGAAAACCAGGAATCCTAACCACTAAAAATGACAACTTCATCGTCAAATTGTTCCCATCCCAGGAGTCAAATTTGGGCCACTTGGTAAAAACCGAGAAAGACAATAAAAAGCAACCACTTTCAAAGCTTTGCCCCAAAGCATTTACTCATCACTCAAGCAGATCTGTATTCCCAGCAAACAGAGTGACTCTTGTTTTGCTCAAAACAGCTGTTGCCTTCGCTCTGGACTCCGCAGTCTCCACTTTTCTGCTATGGCCCTCAGTCTCCTCTTGGATAAAACAGAATCTTTCCAGCTTTCCCAGCCAGCACTCAGCGATGACATCCATTCCATCTGTGTTTAAGAATCTTCCAGATAGCACGCTCCATTAATTCCCTTTATTAAGGCCCTTGACTTGAGGAGAAAAAAAAATGGCAGCAGCTGGTCCAAACTTTTGCACGGCGGCTGAGCCGGCCCGCCAGATGTGGCAGATGCGGCCTGAGAGGTTCGATCAGCTGCTCGCAAGGAGCGTCACGAAAATGCACCAGCGGCCATCTCGGCTTGGCAACGACACCAAAGGCTTTTTTGGGGGCCTCCGGACGAGCCTCCGCTTGCTCGCTGGCAGCCACATCAAAGCGACTCCTTCAAGTATTTATCAGAAGAGACAAAGGCGAGGAGGGGCACAAATCATACGTATCTAGAAAAAAAAAAAAGATAATTCGAAGCATATTTCCAAAGGCGAAGAGGGCGTTGGAAACGTGCGCATACGCCCAGGGTGCGGCATCAAAAGCAACCATAGCAACCATTTTGAGTCCTGAAATGACATCAAGGCTTCTGTGCTCGATTAAAAAAAACAACATACGTTCGTGCGATTGACTCTCCAGCAGCTTATTCCCCACCCTGCTGTTTAACTTTCAGAATCAAACTGAAGTACAAATTTGCCAGAATGTTGTCACTTTGAAACCTTTAAACCCGGTCATGTGATCAGCTCGAATGGCAAAGAACCAATGTGGTGAATGGCCACTGTTTCTAAACTCTGCTTAAAAAAATAAAACCCAGCAAAAACTTATTGTTGTGCTTTTCGAACTGGTCTTGCAAAACAAAACAGCAAAGATTGAAACAGCTAACGCTTCAGTCATTGGACAACTCGCTTTATGAACTGAGACACAGCTGCCCAGCAAGGTCACACAAGATCCTGGGACCCTACCAGGTGATAGCTGGTCTGCTGGTTTCATCATCTAGTAGAACAACAACAACACGCTGGTTTTGCTGGGTGGCCTTGGTTCAGTTGGTAGAGCAGGTTGCCCACTGCTGTTTTTTTGTTGACTTTAGCACAAACTGTTCTTTTGATGGCGGCGCGAGCACCCGCAGCGGCTCCTCTCTCTCCTGTGGTTGAGAGGAATGACATTTCATCTTGTGCTGTATGTTGCCCATGTAGCACATTTGACAATAAAGTTGACTTGAACTTGAAGAAGTCACCTTCGACCCAGAAGCCATGCCATATAAAACCCTATTCCACAAACCCGAACCCTAATGAACACGGAGCATCTTAAACCACTTTGTTACTGATCCAAACACAATAGAATTCTCTCGCCATCCAGCTGGATCATATGCTGAGCATGCCGTCACCGGCAGACTCGGACCAAGAGAGTTTGTTGCCGCGGCAACAGGCGGTGCAGGATCGAGGGTACAGGCAGAGGCTTCTTCTCTTCCAGGAGGCCCAGCAGAAGCAGGTCCAGCTGGTCCAAAGGCTCCAGACCAAGGTGAAGAAACGCACAGATGCTAAGCAGTCTGAGCATTTTTTTCCACAGCTTTGATATCCATTTTATGGAGTACTGTAGCAGTACTCCATAAAATATAATAAGAGACTCAAATTGAATAAGAAACATCAAGGCGATGAAATAAATGCCGAAATGAGTTTTTATACAGTATGTACCTCAATTTGAATCCAGATTTTTCATTCAAGGTCCTACAGTACAAGGGCAGGTGTGGCCAGCTGGAAGGACAAGTCCTGGAGAAGACCTCCGACGTGGAGAAGATGCGACTGTTGGTATGTACCAACATATCTGTCTTGTGTATACATAAAACCAACCATTGTTTATGTATGTGTATGTGAATAGCTGCAGTCCCACCAGGACTCAGCCCAACGTCAGGTGCAAGATCTCAACATCAGCATCCGGAGCAAGATCGCTCAACTGGAGGAGGAACAGAGAAGGTCGGCCAATGCACATTAATCCATCGATCGTCTTCGTCACTTCTCGCCTCCCCTTTCATGTGTGCAACTGCTCACCCCTCCCCTTTCTGCTCAGTAGAGAAAGAGGGCGGAAAAAAAATCCACCGGCCCCTCTAATTATCTTCAATAAAACGGCTTGTTTACGGACTTCTGCAAGCAGCCAATCATATTGCAGCAGGAATTTTCCTGCTTTCAAAAATGAAATAGACTTGCTTATCACTTGTGACGGGCAGTTTTAGTCATGAAAACCTTGACAGGAAGCCATCAATTTGGAAATTTCCCATTTGAAGCTGACCAAATTTTTGTTCAATTCATAAGCAAAACAAATACTCAAAACATTACTGAGGTCCTCAGCCATGTTTTTTTTTTTTTTTGTTTACGGATACTCGGAGGTCTTTGATGTCAGACCCCATAAATTCCAAATTGGATATTTCCGAAATCCCAGTTGTCTCGAATGCTGCGCAAATCCACCACAAACATCATTAGGTAATAGAAAACATCATCCAGCATGTATGCAAACAGATCGCATCAACACATGTAACAGGATGCATCTGACTTGAGCTAAGCTAACGCAGATGTGCTAAGTTGCCGTTGTCGTATTTCCAGATGTGGCAGCCTGGGCCAAGTCAACTGTGTTCTGCGAGAACAGCTGGAGAGGGCAGACGCCCTCAACCAGGGCCTGGTAGAAAGCCTGCGGAAGGCCCGTCAGGACGCCGAGCTGTGCGATACGCGCCTGCGCCACGTTCACGAGGTGAGCAGCATATTATTGAAATTATTTCTGCAGGCCAAACTTGACGAAAACAGAAAAAAAAATCATTTTTCGCTCATGTTTTGAATGGCAAATGAGTTGCAGCATCTGGTAGAAAAACGTGAAAATCAAAACTTGCGAGCCAGTGTCGTACAAACTACAAAATGTCCACAGGATCACTCAATGGTTAACTTTAGTAATCTCATTCATAGCCAAACAGTCACTCCCGCATTATTTCTCCCGTTGTTTTTTTCCTTTGAAAACATTCCAAGTCGCAATGGTGGAAGGGTGGTGTTTAAGAGGCCCCCTTTGTTGCCGTAAATGTTGGATGTGTGTTTATTCAGGGAAATCCAATGACTTGTGTGTATGCCAGCTCACTTCCAGGACAGCGTCTGTTTGGAATCACAATAACATGAGAGGTGCCATCTCTCACTAACGTCTCTGCAACCCACTTCTCACACACCCACACCCACACCCACACACACACACACACACACACACACACACACACACACACACACACACACATACGCTCCCCCTTTGCAGACGTCGTCTTGCCGCCTGAGTCGGGAGCAGGCACACGTCAGAAGCTTGTGGCGCCAGGCCGCCTCCCTGAGGACCGCCTTCACTCAGCTCAGGACCTTCGCTGACAGGTGAGTGTGCAGTCAACAAAAAGCACATGCAATCCCTCACGAGCCCCTTTCACACGGAAAATTAGTTTTTAACCATGTCGGTGTTTGGCCGACCCAACTCACTTCACAACAAGCAACAGTTTGGAAAAGTAAGTCATAGTAAATCTAAAACAAAGACCATTGTAGTTGTTTTTTAAAATCAAGCAAATAACGTTGCTATAAGAACGTCCATTAGCTTAAAGCTAACACGTAACTGAAAATAGCATTGACATGCTAATGGTTGACATCGATAGTTGCTTTTTTTTCAAACCCTTTAAGCAAGAGTTAAATGAACACAAATGATGATGCAAAGCATGTAGAAAGAGTTCCATTTAAATTATTTGTACTCAATTATTTGTAGTCAAAGTGAAAATTCAGCCGAATGACAGTTCGTATCTCGAAAAGCTTCATAAGCGTCGTCCCTTGTATCCCAAAGCACCATTGAATAGTTAAACACCGAAATGTTGCACTTTTGCAGCGTGTTAAGTGCGGAAAACTCCAGATTCCCCTTCTTTGAATGGTACATGGAAACAAACTTTGAATGAGAATAATAATAATAAAAAAAAGATACATCACAACAGCTTTGATCACAAGCTGCAATTGCAGACCGTTGACCGCTAACAACTTCCGGTGAGGCGAATCATGCGCTGCCCTAGGTTAAAGGTGATCTGCTTTTTTATTTTGTTTTATTTTAAATACTTTTTTATGAAAGTGAAACTGATGGGATGCTTAGGGTGCAGTGTACACTAACACAAAAATACATAATATTTAATAACACATACACAGACACACAAATTTCCCCCTCCACCCCTCGCGATCGACTTGGGACCAGTCCGCGGCCTACCGGTCGATCACGATCGACGTATTGGGCACCTCTGGATGACATAAAGAAATGTTGAGTATTAAACTTCACAGTCCTGTCCCAGCTTTCCTTTCTTCCCTTTAACACAGACGTTCCGTAAAATTCACATCGAAGACAGGTACGATTACTTCCTGCCCCACTGGGGTCGGGGTAAAAGACAAATAAATAGCAGCGCTACCCTTAATATCTCTCATGTGTCATCCAGGACACTGTCTGATATGCGCAGCGAGTACGTCGCCGCCGGCCAGCGGCTTCAAGTGGCCTGTCGTCATCTGGAGACCCAGGCCGCGCAGGAGAGCGCCTCCGGTGGTGTGGATGTGTCAGCGCTGGAGCGGCAGCTGAAGGATGAACTCCAAGAAGCCATGCAGCTTCAGGGCTGCTGGGACGCCGAGAAAGTGGAACTCAACTCCAGGTAGAGAACAGGAAGGAGCCTGTTTTCTCTGAACAATGAAAATGTTTTATTTTTATTTTTTTTTTTTTATGCCTCCTACTTGAGGCTTCTGTTCTGGGTTTTGCTTTAGTTCTTGTATTTGGGGTAAAATAATCACATAATGGAGTGTTTTAACATATACAGAACATTTTGCAAACCTCTCCATCCTGGTGAAAATTGGTATATTTTCAGGGAGCATCTCAGTAGTGCCCCTTCTGGAGAGTTAAAAAAATATTAACACCCACCACGAATGCGTCCATTTTTCAGCAAATCCAGCATGCATGTTTATCATCACAGGGTGCACGAATCTTCAAAGAGGCTGTGCCGTTTTGTGTCAAGCCAAGATTTTTCAGAGACGGTTGTATTGATTGATTAACAGATTTTGATTCGATTAGCTTCAGTCAAAAACAGCACGACAGGATGTACCAGAAGACGAAGCCAACGGAAAAGGCATAGAGTGAAGCCGCAGATTTTTTTCAGAATTCAGTATTCAGAAGCTATTTGGAATGACAAATTACATTTTTCATTGGGAATAGGACTCAACCAAACAAGACAATGTAATTTTTTTTCCTGATTCAGGCTCATGGAGCTGATGGATACAGTCAAGCACCTTCGCAGCCAAAACAGCGAGAAGGACGCCAGCCTGGACAGGATGGTGAGACTTTGAGTTGGGGTTAGATTCGCTGAATTAGCTGTTCTCAAGGCTTTCATCAACTTGGGGGTGTTGAGCAGCTGCCATCTGGACAAGGTCAGGCTTAAGTTTGCAGTTTGTTTGACCTGCCTGGTCTACCCTTCAGGAGACGAGCAGAAGCGAGGACAAAGGAGAGATGGAAGTCCTCAAGGCTGAGAACCAAACCCTGCACAAAGTACTCTGCAAGGTCCACCAGGTCAGAATAAAAAAAAATGTTCAATGTGTACAAACATCCACAGTCTAACAATGTCCATAATGGATCACCAGATGGTGTCCAATGAAGGTGACGGCGGCACGTTTGGAGGTCTTCTTGATTGTTCTCCACAAAGCATCGCCACACTGATGGCTGTGCAGGGTGCCCTCGACAAGCACAAGCAACAAATTCAGGTTTGCCTCCCGTTTCCTGATATTATCCATCACAAACAATTCCGCTTTGCATGGTAGAAAAGCCACACAATCTTCCAGGATCTTTGTAGTCATCTGGAGGCCTCACTGAAAGAAGCCAACTTGCTGCGTAGTCGACTGCAGCAGGGTGACTCGGACAAGACAGAACTGGAGGCGAGGATCCGGCAAGTGACGAAGGAAAGCCAAGAGGTCCAAAAGGCATTAGAGGAAACCGTTCGGGAGAGGGACAGATACCGCTCCTCGCTGGATGTCATGTCCAGGTACCGCGTTAACCTTCACTATAAAGACAAGTTGTCACGTGTTGAGCGACAAGCCACTCTGAAGAGCTACTAACCCCATAACTTGCCACATGGACTAAAATATATAAAACGCAACAGATGGATCACTGTTTCGAATATTATTCATTATGAACAAATAACAATAGCATATTATTAGATTGTTATTTGAGCAAATTTGTCATTCCAGATGTATCAACCCGGTAGCCCTTCACTATGCTATTCATCTTTGTTCCCAGCGAGAAGTGTGGTGTGGAGCAGCTTTTAGCAAGAGTGCAACAGGAGTGCGACTCCCAGCGCAGCGAGCTGGAGGCCCTGAGACGGCAGCACCTAGATGCCGACCTGCAGTTGGCACGGCTGCGCTCCGAGGTCCAGCAAGGGTGCGACACATACACACAAATTCACACACCCACATGCTAGCGTCCTGAGACTTTTTATGCATTTTTCCACAATTCATATCATCTGTAAGCCATTTATTGTCGTACGATGAGTTTGAAATGAAATGAAAGTTTTTTTGGGGGATCCAGCTCTGTCCCCGATTCATGGTCGCCTGTGGCGTTCCATCATTTCAAGGCCAGATCGATTATTCTTGTTTGTCTAATGACACAAAGGCATGAGAAAATGCGTTTATGTTCCAGTGAGCAAAGCCTGGAGGAGCTGGAGGGGAAGCACTCGGACCTCCGGCGGGAGCTGGTGGCTGCGAGGGAGGCGCTGAGCCGGTCGGGCTTGGAGAAGGAGGTTCTAGAGGAGGACAAGGCTAGCCTGGCTCTGGCTCTCACCAAGGTTCGACCACCACGTCTGTGTCCTTATACACGGTTTGACCACAATGACGCTTCTTTACACAGGCCGAGTGTCGCAGCGCGACGCAGGAAGCGCTAGTGGCCAAGCTGCACCACCAGGAAGCGGGATTGAAAGACTCCCTGGCCAAGATGGTGGCCCTGAGTGAGGGCCTGGCCAAGGACAAGGTGGAGCTTAACCGCCTGCTACTGCAGGTTAGAAAGCCACGTTAACGACAATGAAAGAAGACTGAAATTATGAAAAATCCATGTCGTGAGAGGTCATCAGCTGTGCGGAGAGAAAGGATTCCATTTCACATAAGTGGGCTGAAAATGATTTCGCCCTAACCGTGTCCTGTTGTGTCCCTCGTTTCAGGCCGAAACTGAGAAGGCGGAGCTTGGTGACCGCCGTCGGGAGGCGGAAGTGGAGCGGGCGGCGGCCCGGGAAGAGGTGGCCCAGCTACAACGGGAGAAGACAAATGCTCTGGCGGAAAAAGAATCCCTAAAGCGCTCACAGGGCATTTTGTGGGACTTGCGACGCAAAATGGAAGACGACCTGGACCGACTGCAGAAGGAGAATGCACACAACCTGGAGCAGCACTCGCAGGTACGTCCTGGAGTTGCGGCACTCAATATTTTTAAAATCAGCCATTTTTTCTTGGTAATGTGAAGTTTGGTAGACATGTCGATCAAGAGTGGACCCACAAAAAAGTCTGATGCAGTCTAACCCGAAAAGATGCAGGAAATCTAGTATTTTGGTTTGCGACGGCCAATTTCAGGTGACCCCACAATTTGGGAAATTCAGCCCCTGAAGCCACTACAAGTTCGAAACATGAAAATTGGTAGACCTGTTTATCTGGAGACTCACAAAAAAGTCTCAAAAAGTCAAGCTGGAATAGACACAGGAACCTTGTTTTGGTTTGAAGCTGCCATTCAGTGTCATATTGGCCCTTTTCGAGACAAACACGTCCTCATGATTTTGTCATTCTATTGCAAATTTTCTTTTCAAATATATTACATGGAAAAAAAAAAATCTGTCATTCCTGAATGTCATATTTCTGTAAAGGTGAAGGTCTGCATTTCTCAACAAACTAAGCTACTGCAGAGACAAAGGCCAGTACATAACTTTCATTCTATTACGTATCATTACTGCCTTTTTATAACTGATATTTTCTTAAGCCTGAAGTGCTATTAAAAGTATTTTATGAGGCAGTAGGGAGAAAGAATAGTGCACAAATGTGAGGAAGATAAATGGAGCGTCAGAGTGCTTTTTTAAGTTCGAGACTCGTAAATTTGCACCGCCAAAGTCTTCTCATTCTTTGCCCGCGGAAGAATGACAAGAATCCTCTCCTGCTTTATTATCGCCCGAGCAGGACCTCCGCATTTGAGCTCAGGTAGTTTTTAACAAACCAAACAAAATGGACAAATTCCATCCAAACACTTTGAGATAAGGGAGCTGTGAAAATAAATGTGAAAAAGCTTGGGTGTCATCCAGCCCGAGCCGGGAGACGCGGTGCGCTAATATTTACTTTGACTTCAATTTAGCCTGGATGGAAATCAAATTACGCTGATTGTTGCTTTTTTAAACCTTCTGCCGTGCTCGAAATGATATAATAAACATGAGAGGGTGCTGAGGTCCATTAAAAACTCAGCCATTGTGTTACGGCTCCATGCAAGTGCACGATTTTTCTGTCCTTTTTCTCATGGACAGACTTTGTATTCCCCCCACACCACCAAAAAAAAAAAAAAAAAAAAAAAAGTTTCTGGACCTCTGAAAAGTTCAACTCCCACAATGCAAATGCTCGTTTTTGTTCCTGGAACTGCATTTAGACAATATTTCCTGCGGTTCAAATTCACTATAGCCCTACAAAATGATCCCCGTGTGAAGTAGACCTCTTCGAACTGCACAAATTCAAATGCAATCGTTACGTGTACTGCAATGATGTCTCTGTGCATGCAGGTGAGCAGGCAGGTGCAGAGCACATCCGAGGAGCTTTGCGAGAGCAGGAGGCAGTTGGACGAGCAGGCGGCGGCCCTGGAGAGAGTCGCCACTGACAGAGGCGATCTAGCCAAGGACAAGGCGGCCCTGGAAGTCCGACTCTGCTCGGCCGAGCGCAAAACCTGCGACCTTGCGCAGGAGCTGCTGGCACTCAGGTTTGTGTGTGAGAAAAGCAAATATCGATTTTAATTTCATTGCTTAAACTTAGTTCCGGCCCAGTGAAATGTATGCAAGCCAATAGAAAAAATATCCTGGTAACTGTTGAATACTAGGGCCTGACTGATTAATCGTATGGATGATTAATTAGCAGATGTTAGCTTGGGGTGCCCCGGTGGTCCAGTGGTCCGCACGTCGACCCTCGTAGTGCAGAGGTTGTGCGTTTGATTCCGGCTCCTGCCTCCCTGTGTGGAGTTTGCATGTTCTCCCCGGGCCTGCGTGGTTTTTCTCTGGGTACTCCTGCAGATCGGAAAATGGATGGTTGGATGTTAGCTAGGTCGATTTTTTTTTCCTTTTTTTTGCCGAATTTTTTTTAAACATCTTAAGAGACAAAAATAGTGACATTTCAACATTGCCCCCAAAGATTGTAGCCTCTGTCTGTGCTTGTACTTCCAGAGCCGAGAATCAGTCCCTGGAGACCAGCTTGTTCCAGAGCCAGGAGCTGGCCTCGTCCCTGGAGGCCGAGTGCCGTCGCGTGGAGGCCGAGCGGCGCAGCGTGATGTTGGCGAACGAAGCCTTGACGCGTGAGTAGACCCCCCTCCGTCATATATATGTACACACACACACACAAACACACTGTAACCCCTACCCCACCCTCACCCACGTGCCAACCCCCTCTGTCCATGGAGCCTTTCCAAAGGGCCCACAAGAGAACCAGATTTTTATGTAGGAGCTCTGCAACAGCTGCACATGTATGGAGATGACTTTCCTAGCACATCAATCCCACCATGGTGTCATAAACATGACATTATAATGTGAAAGCCACCTTACACGTCCTGGATCATCTTTTTTTTTTCCATGCAGGTACCTTAGCTATGCAGGAACAAAGAACATTTAAAGCAATATTGTGTATTTGGACGGCAGAAAGTAATTTCGAAATGTCTTTCACTGGCATTCTTCCACCGCAGAATTAATTTCCTGGGAATCAGAAACTTTTACAGCAAGCACCATTGTTTTTTTTGAATGCAAGTTCTATATTTACTTCTGAGGTCATTCATAAAGGCAGAGGGAAGGCTTTGCTTGGGGGTCTATCTGTTTTCAGTTTAAAACCGTTATTTGTCCCCTGGGGGCAATTCAACTGTCTCGAATGATTCAGGAACCTTCTGAATTTTACCCCCGGACGAAGAACATTTAAAGGGCCCTTTTGTCTTTGGACTGCAGACTCTAAATTTAGTCTTAGGGGAATCTTATCAAGTTGAAAGTAACATTCCCTGGGGGGGTTAATAAAGAAAAAACATTTTCTTTAAGAGTCAGTAACCTTTGGAACTTTACCCACAAACTAATAGTTTTTCAAGGAGCATTGTGTGATTTGACTGTAGGTTCTAAATGTAATGTAGGTTATAAATCTAGATCTATGCCTTAAAAGACACAGGAAGTGTATTGTGTTGATTCAAAGAAGCCATTTTAGGGTCATTTCAATGATGTTCAGGGACCCTTCAAAGACACGCCCATCCGAGAGAATTTGTGCAATTTCGACCACATTTCCGAGCCATAATTTTGCGCAGGTGATGTCGCTCGAGTGCGTTTGGATGCTGAACGTGAGCTTGCTCAGGTTGCGCAGGAGCGCAGCGACCTGGAGGAGAAACTGCTCCAAGCAGAGAGGAAGGCCCTGCAGAGCCTGAAGAACAGCGACGAGCTTCACAGAGAGCAGCTGGAGGACGAACGCAGGCGGAAGGTTTGACCCTGATGAAAAGGACGATAGTGATGCTACCGTAAGACGATGATGAGGCGTCACACACGGCGGCGGGGGTCTACAGGAGCAGCAGCTTCTGGAGATGACGAGGCAGCAGGAGCAGCTGCGCTCACTCAACCAGGAATTGGCAGAGCGCAGCAGGGAGGAGGTGCAGAAGGCAAAGGAGGAGATGCTCAGAGCCCAGCAGGACTGCGAGAGGAGCATCATGAAAGCCCACAGTGAGAAACAGCAGGTAGGAAGGACAAAAGGGAATAAAAGGAAGGGATGTAGATAGGTAGATAGTTAGAGTGATAGGAAGATAGTTTGGCTGGGAAAGTAGGTAGTGAAGTAGGATGAGGTTATTAGACCCCCAGACCAATGAGCCACAACACTTTTTTTTGTCCCATGGACCACCGTGTAACAATTGCCACCACAAAAATTGGGATTGGAAAGCAGGACCTCTGATACCCAAAGGCAAGAATAACACCCGAGCACAGATAGTGTAAGATGGCCACCTTGCTTGTTGCTTGTGAGAGAAGACCCATTTCAAAGAGGGCTTGGAATTTGTTAGTCATGGATTAAAGGGGTAAAACTGCGTCACTTGTCACGTAGGCCATTATGTTAAAAAGAGCGGGTAGGAGGGCTTGTCCGGGATTTGAACCCGGGACCTCTCGCACCCTAAGCGAGAATCATACCCCTAGACCAACGAGCCACATCCTTCCTCTGATGGTCACCTTGTCACATGGGCGACGGCATGACAGTGAAGTGAGTTTTTTTTTTTTTTTTTTCCCAAGGATTTGAAGCTGGGATTCCAGTATCGGCTGGTCCAGTGGTTAGCACGTCGACCTCACAGTGCAGAGGTGCCGGGTTCAATTCCAGCTGCGGCCTCCTTGTGTGGAATTTGCGTGTTCTCCCCGGGCCTGCGTGGGTTTTCTCCGGGTACTCCGGTTTCCTCCCACATTCCAAAAAAACATGCACGGCAGGCTGGTCACCCTTGTGAGGATGAACGGATGAGAAAATGGATGGATGGAATGATCATATCAAGACCAAGAAGCCAAATGGCGCTTTAATGACAGGGAGGAACGGCGTCGCGGGCACCCGCAGCGGCTCCTCTCTCTCCTGAGGAAAGAAATTTCATCTGTGCTGTATGTTGCACATGTAGCACATTTGACAATAAAGTTGACTTGATTTGACTTGACTCGAATGTATCGTGACAAATAGAGAGAATGTTCGATAAGAGTGGTGATTATGTGTTTGTGGTGATCAGACTTTGTCCCAGAAGGAGATGGAGAACGTGTCCCTTTTGGAGAAGCTTGCTGCCCTCCAAAAGGATCTAAACTCTGTCACCAGCGATCTGGAGCTCACTCGGAAGGAAGCGCTCGTCGCACAAGAGCAGGACAAGGTCACCGTCACCATCCTTCCATCCTAAAAGCGTCCCCAAATTTAACTACGCACATCCTCTTCTTGTTGTTGTTTTCCAGAATGAAATGTCGGCCCTGCGGCGTGAGACGCAGCAGCTGAGAGCAGACTTTGAGGCGTCGCTTAACTCGCACGAGGCGGCCCAGCAGAGTGGACGCGAGAGGCTGCGTGAGCTGGACAAACAGCAGCAGGCAGCCCAGCGCCAGGTCAGGAAATTCTGTTGAGTGGGGTTGTGCTTCTTCTGGTTATACTTCCTGCTCTTATAGAGACGGATGTACGACTCAGCCCTGAATGGTTATGCTCGACCATTATTTTTCTTAAATCTTATTTGTTGTATTGAGCACCCAGAAACAAGTTCGGTGCAGTGGAATTTTATTTGGATACAACATCAATTACAAACATTACAAGAACCGGGGAGAAGGAATTCCATTTTGGATACTTTTTTTCCTGAGGAGGCCTCGACTCGGAATTCCTTACATAACTCAAAGACTAACTAACTGGCTAACATGGCCAACACATACCCTGGCATACGTGTTACATATTTTTCATGGTTATTGTAGTTGAACATTTTTTTTAACAAGAAAACTTTTAACAAAAGGAGATCTGCTGCCCACTATCAACACTGCCGTTATTTTTTGACAAATAGACAGGTCGCTGGGTCCTTTTAGCGTAGCAGTGAGCTCACAGTCAGCTCATAAAGCCGAAAGGAGGCTGACTGTGCCGTGATTTAGACACTCCAAAAGAACAGATGTTTATCTCGCAGCAAAATTTGTCTTTCAGGAGAGGGGATTATCTTGTCTTCAATCTGTCAAATTGTAGCAAATGAGTGCAGACGAGCCAGACCAACACCACCATTGGAAGGGTTCCCACAGTTATGTGAACTGCTTGAAAAGCAGATCCATGCGCAGTATTTTATGCGATTTGGAGACGCCATGTTAAGGGACATTTCGCTTTTCTGGTTTCTGACAGGCGGTCGCTCCACAATGTTGTGCGAGTCTAGATCTATATTCTGAGAGGTTACGACACTTATTTGTTCCAGCCAGTCTTCCTCGTTTTTCGTTTTTGTTTTTGCTTTGCCATATCAGCGCATTTTTCCGTAGGAGTTTGCTTTCCCCACAATATTGTGACATGCGTTCGCCACACAAGGTTGTGTGCATTTGTGTTTATGTTCCATATAGATAAGCCACGTATTTGTTCTGGGCAGACGCCTTGGTTTTTGCGATTTGACTGCATTGTTTCGAAAGAGGCCCTATTTTTGTTTGTGGAGTTTGACGTGGTCGCTCCACAGTGTTGTGTGCATCCATGCTTACCTTCTGTGGACTTTAGAAACAGCCCGGACTGCCTCACTTCTCATCATGTGTCTTCTCATCATGTGACTGCTAGTCTCCTAGCAGGTGGTTAGTCCACAGAGCTGTGTACCTCCATGTTTTTTTTTAATCCAAAGAGCTATTTATTCAGGCAAGTCTGCTTGATTACTTTAGGTTTGTCATTATTTGTCACAGATAGTCATTTTCTTCCAATAGATTTTGAAATGTGGTCGCTCCATAATGTTGTGTGTGTCCCTGTATATGTTCTCAAGAGATGTGTGACTTCTTTAGTTCGCCTGGTCTGCCTCATTACTTGTCGTTTTGGTTTTTTTTTCCCCTCTCAATGGTTCTTTGCCCGCAGTAGAGTCTGACATTTGGTCACTGCTCAATGTTGTCTTTGTCCTTGTGTGACATTCTATTTATTTGTCCGCACAAGTCCTTTTTTTATTTTCACTCTACAATGAATCATACCTCAAATGAAAAGCCTTGATGAAAACCGAACACGAGTTGCTCTGTCAATATACTTGCATCTCATGATGTAATGACAAAACCCCCCCCCCAAAAACATGTTTCCTGCTTTACACGTTTGGTTCCCAAAACCACCACAACACAACATTCAGCATTATCCAAACAATGGCCCGTCATTCATTTGATTTTGACGTCATTTGCATATGAGTGGCACAGCAGGAGAAGCTGGACAGCATCAGTAAGAGGAGGGGCGACGGGACAACGGTGGGATCGGGGGTCCCTGGTACTGTATTATGAAATCAAAAGTTTGTGTTAACCCCTTGTGTAAATAAGCCAGCAGTAATGGGGGCGGCTGACTGTTTATTTTCTCCTCCTTGTAACAGCAAAAGGCTGGCTCCACCGGGACCCTCAACCCCACTCCCACCTCTCCCCTCCTCTCTCATCCGCATAACACAACACTGCCCCATCTCATCCTGACGAAGAGGGAGGGGGCGGGGGTGGGGGGGGGCGAAAGTCATATAAAATTAAAGCCGCGGGCGGCGATGAAGGAACCCTCACACCCTCAGGTCTCAGGGGTGTGTGAGAGATTTCTGCCAGTTGGTCGCGCCGGCGATTCTTTTCAGGGCGGGACCTTTATCACACACGAGGCGTTTGTGGAGTTAATAGAGTTGACTGTTTTAATGGCGAATTATCCAACTTGGCTCCCAAGATCCGGCCGGCCACAAGCAATGCAGAAAACTAAAATGTGACATAATTAAACCATCAGCCATCTGTCTAAAAAATATATAGTTTGGTGGCAGTCGGATGAAATATGGAGAACAGGGACGGAAGTTATTTTTGAAGGACCTGCTCAAATGTAATGTAATCGAAAGTAATAGCTTGAAACATATGTTTGCTGAGTTGTTTTGTGTTTTTCGCCATTTTTGTGGCTCGACTCATGATAGACACAACCCATCAAGTTTTATGTTGCGAAGGTAAACGTACCCTCGAAGCTAAATTTTCTTCAATTATGGTGTAACTAGAGTTTCATATTTCATGGCAAGTCATCAAACACTGCTGCCAAACTCCGCCCACACGCAATGATGAAAACTCTTAATTCTTTGCAATTTTGTCCACGTGTCCAGATACTGTGCATGGTTCCAAGTTTGTTTTTCAAAGAACCCTTGAATTGTACTGTTAAATTGCTGCTTCAAATCAATATGGAAGATATCCTAAATCTTTTTATGCATGGCTTCTGGACACTTTTATTACAGGCCTACTGATTATAGACCTGTGTACCAAATATATCAATTTACTGTTGCTAAGTACAACTGGCTTTGTGGTCTGGGGTCTGACTTTTTTTTTTTAATCTTCTAAAATCAGTACATTTCTGAGTCAAAAAAAGTGTCTTCAAATCAAAGTGAATGACTTCTGTGTCTTTTCGGGCTTGGCTTCTTGAGACTATTTTGTGGGTCTTCTCATGCACGTGTATGCAAAATTGGACGTTACTTGCGTAACTGACCTTAGGGGATGATTTTGTAAGAAGCAAAATATCTGAAGTGTATCACTGACTCAAGTTTTATCTCGAGTGCGCTACTGAGTCAAATGACAGAGTTCATGTGTCTTTTCAGACATGGCTTCTTGAGGCTTTTTTGTTTGTGTGAGTCTACTCAATGCTATGTGATACATATACCGGTACATGTTGCCGTGTAAAAGTGCTTTTGGGGACTGCATTGTCCAGTGTTCCTCATAAAGGCTAATTGGTCGGATCAGCTTGTTCTTCCTCACATGCGTTTATGAGCAGGAATCATCCTGTGTGGCCTCCTCTTCCTCCCCCACACATTCAGAGGTTCAGGGGGTGTGCTGCTGTTTATCACGCTGCTCTGTGGATTCTTGACACCGTGAGCTCAGCGAGGAGACGCAAGCTGGCCGTGTGCCCAAACAGCTCTTAGCCCCCGGCCCTGATAAGCCCCGTCCTCCCCTGGAGCCAAATATAAATATAAAAAAAAGAAATAAATACATACTAATATAGGTCATGTGCTCACTCTGCTTTGTTTACATGAGCTCATTCACCCATTTGGACTTGAAATTCAACTCCTTATTACTTTTACTTTTTATCATCGGCATCATCTTTTCCCCAAGTTGCTGCCTCAACATTTTTGACCTTGTTCCACAAAATGAACCAACACACCCAGAACCTGAACAGTGGAACCTATTTGGTTTCCCCATCGGAAGGAATGGAAATTGAATCCAGTATTTATTGTCTTAAAATCTGTACTGACAATATTTTTTGTCTCGTTTGAACATTTTTGATAGCGTGGGCTTCACTGTAATCAGATACATTACTGTAATATGTTGAATAGTGTTTAATTATGAGCAACAATTTCCTCTACTTTTTTACGTTTATAATGTTGTCCACCCTTGACCAACATGTGGAAGGTGGAGGTTCTTCAGGCTCAGCTGCAGGACGCCAAGGAGCAACTGGGAGAAGCCTGGAGGGAGCTGGCCGATGCCCGGCGGTCCCTCCAGGAGAGCTCTCAGAGTTGGGAGAAGCAGCGCAAGGAGGCCGTCAACCTGCAACGCTTACTGGAGGATGAGACCAGTGCAAAGGAAGCCATCCACGCCTCCAACCAGGAGCTCAGAGCCTCCGTCAAGCGAGCAGAGAGCGACAACAGCAGGTGAAGAATCTCATTGTTTCCAGGATGTCATTTGTGTATGCTGCGTTCGAAACGAGACTTCAACACATGGCTGCCCGTGTGACAAGTAATCGGGTCATTCGCTGTCATGGGTGGTTACTTGGTCTTGGTGCGGGATTCTGGTGTACAGAGTAAGGTTATTATAGTTAATAAAAAAAAAAGTAATAAGAAAAACTAAAATTGAAAAAAACATTTTACAAAATAAAATAAAAACGAGAGTGTTTCAAAAAACCACGATAACTAACGTAAACTACGTTTCACATTTCCAAAACTATTGAAAACTAAGTTATGGTGATAACGTTAATGTCCTTCATTTTTGTCTTTGGCAATTGATTTAATACTCGGGCGGGCTTTTGGTGTTGATTTTGAATGTATTTATTTCAGTATGATCGCACGGCCATTTGCCGCAAGAAGGAAGGTGGAACAGTCGTCTGGCACCCGCGTTCCTTTTACTGCGTGTCACCTAGAAGTGATGTCATTTGGCAGCAGCCAATAAAAAAGCGCCACCAGATGACATCTCTCCACGGCGTGTCAACCATGCTCGTGTTAGCTCCAATACGTTTGTCACTCAGCTCGAAACGTAACGCTGGTCCACAAGTGCTCTCATTTCCTGAATTACTTTTTTTTTTTGTCACATGGGCCACCATGTTCAAAAACCCTCGTACTCATCACCATAGGTTCTTTAAAGGAGGGCTCATCTGGGATTTGAACCCAGGACCTCTCACCCCCTAACCAAGAATCATACCACTAGACCAATCTTCTAATTCTCATTCCCATCAGTTTGAGGCGAGCGGCAGAAGAGCGTGAGCAGCAGTTGTCCATCTTGGAAGAGCGCAGCGCCTCCATGCAGCGGGAGGCGTCCACCTTGAGGAGCAGCATGCGCGAGATCGAGAAGTCACGGCTGCAGGCACGCCGACGGAACCAGGAGATGCGCAGACAGGTCGGAAACCTCGACACGAAGTGAAATACACCTCAAATTCATTTGCACACAGTTGGAAAAGTTACGACATCATTTCTGAGCCGTACTCACTTCTTTAGTGTTTATCCTTATCTTCAAGATTGAAGATGTTTATTTGTCATTTGGCGTTAGTGTTTTGAGATGGTCCTCGGAAAATGTCTCCCTTGTAAGTTTGAGACCCCCTTGAAGACACATTAATTCTCGAAAAAATAAACAAAATGACATGATTCATGTATGGATGTCAGAATTATGTTACAATAACTTTTAAATCATGATCCCAAAGCTATAAGGTGGAGTAATGTCTCACATATTATTCAAGATATTCAAGATTTTGAGAGTTGGAGGTGGTCTGAAATTAGTCAGAGGAAAAAAAAAACAAAAAACAAAGCTTGACTATCACAGGTGAAGGTCCTGGAAGGTGAAAAGCAGAATCAGGAGCAAGAGCTGAAGCAGCTGCAGGTGCAACTCTGTCAGGAGGAGCAACGGCACGAAGACGCGCGACGCCAAGCCTTCAGCCTCAAGCAGAGAGTGTTGGAATGTGAGGCAGCCAGAGATGCAGCCAGCAAGCAGGTATTGCCCACATTTTGCTTTTGATCCAGGGATCAATACTTCTGGCCAGGGTGAATGGATGTCTTGGAAAGATGGACTCGATGTTTCATGGATTAGTTAAAAAAAATTAAATGCCCACGGAACATAGTTCATTGTAATCATAAAGTAACAGGCTCATTTCCAAATTGTATTTAGAATATATTTGAGGTGTCAAATTAATCGACAAATGGGCAACTAAATCAATTCGCAAATTTATCGACAACTATTTTAAGAATCGAGGAATCGTTGAGAGCCGTGGTTGAACTCAAAATTTTCTGATTTCAGCCTCTCAACTGTCATTTGTCTCTGTTATCTGGAGTCCTTTGTGAAAGCAGTCTGTTGAATCGTTTGTGATTAGTAAAAAACAAGCCATTTGCGAACATCCGCTTTTACTTTGGCATACCATGACCGAAAGAGTAACTGAATCCGTTTCAACAAGGTTGGTGAGAGAATCATCAATCTTGTGCGGTGTCGCTTAATTGTTGTTTCATGTTTTTTAATCACCAAACAATGTTTCGTGTTTTCAATCTCTGAACAACATCAAGTAAACACCAATAATTGTTTAATGAACAGCAGTCGGAGGGGAAAATGGTTATGCAATTCCGTGCAAAATCAAATTTTATCCAATTATTCGATTATTATTAATTGATGGATTTTTTTTTATATTTAATACAGCGACTTTCGGCAAAATGGCTAAATGAATGAAACAAACACTACAGTTCTTCAACACCGAATGCAAATGTATTGTCATGTAAATGAAATACAAATGAACTTCACGTAGTACCCTTTAAGAATTACTGCGCTTTACCAGCCAAATGTAATTGCAGCTCTGTTCTATTTGACCAGGTGTCATCCCTGCAGAGACGCGTCTTGGAGCTGGAGGAGGCTGAGCGTCAGGGCTGGGAGCTCCTGCAGACCCGACAAGCCCAGCAGCAGCTGGCCGACCAGAAGCATTGTGACGAGGCCACCCGGCTGCAGCGAACCCTGGAGGACGCCGCCCTCCAGACCGGCGAGGTGAACGCCCGGCTGGGCCGCGCAGAGGCCGCCGCCCTGGACTTGGAGCAACGACTGGGAGAGAGCGAGGGCCGGAGGCGCCAGCTGGAGCGCAAAGTGTTGGCGGTGGGCTCCACGCTGCGCCGTCTCCGCTTGTCGTCTCCCAGGAGGAGACTTCCTCTTCAAGGTTTGTCTTGTTGCTTTACATGCGGTTGTCAGGAGGTTTACACACGCTCGCCGCAGGCTCGGCGGGAGACGGCATCTCCACGTCCTGTGCTGATGAAGAACTGGACTTGGACTTCATCCAGGCCGGCCTGCAGGAACTCCAGAGAGAACTCAGGGACACACGGAGAGAAAGAGTATGTCGTCACTTTTCACCGGGTCGAATCGTAAACTCGAATGCAGGCTCGATCTTATTGTCACATATGCGTGATGGTAGTAGACCCAAAAAAGCAGGAGAGCCAGGGAGTACTGCACAAAATGTCCTTAAAAAAAACACACCGACAGGGGTACACTGCAAAAACTAAATCTAAAACACAAAATCCTGAAAACCACAATAAACCAAAGTAACAACCAAAAACCCATGACAAAAGCACAAAACGACGTGACAGCAACACCGCAGGGCACCGGAATGGGGACGGATGTCAGCCAGAGGCCGTGCGGCGCCGGAACAGGGACGGGTTATTGTAATTGCCATGACAAAGCATATCGTTAGCTAGTGGACTTGAGGGCTAATCTGCATAATTGATTGTTTGAAATACACAAGTTGTAATTGCCTTTGTTTTAGGTTTACTTTGACAGTAAACCTCAACTGTAAGCAGCAATAGACAGCTCGAAGCTTCTTTTTTGCAGAATTGTGAACTATCAGCCAAAATGCCGCTTATAGTGAACCATCCAGCAAAAAGTCAAAGCAAAAAAAAAAAAAAAAAAAATTGGATGTTGAAAACTCAAAGTCGAGTCACTCGTATGTCAAGTCACCGCTGTACTTTAGGATTAGAGAAGGTCTATTTGTGGATGTTTTCAGGATCAGTCCGAGGCCCAGCGAGTCATTCTTAGCGAGCAGGTGTCAGCACTCAAGGACAAGTCGGCCAGCGAGGTGACCAAACTTCACAAGTCCCTGAAGCAGTTGAAAGACGGTAGGGAGTGTATGCACGTTCACCTGAGCGCCCCTTAAAAATCAAACACAATTCTTATTTGCAGGAAACAGGGAGATGGAAGAGCGACTGCGCGAATCCCAGACCTCACTTTTTATGCACCGGGAAGCAGCCGAGCGCGACAAGATGGGCCTGGAGGAGGAGGCGACTCAGCTGCGGTCCGCCCTGCTCGCTTCGCAGGCTGAGTCGAATTCACTCAAGGTGCGTATTCGGACAGCAGGATGCAGGCCATCGGTCTTATAGTGGCGACTAAAGTTGAAATCTTTCATTGCTCATAGCGTCTCAAAGCAAACTACACAAATAGGTTTGCATTTAAATTCAGTGACCAAGAATCTGCTTCCTATTTTAACTGAAAGGCACTATTTATTTTCTTGACTTCATCTCTGATGCACAACTACGGGCCGCCAGTTGCCCGTCCCTGCTCTGGACTGACACTTTGATGATTCTGTTCAAGGAAACGATGGATTGCTCCCAAGCTCAAGCACACGCGGAACATGAGAGACTAAAAGAAGCCCTGGAGGAAGCCCAAAGTCGTATAGTCCTCCTGGAGCTCGATCGGTGCTCTTTGGAGGCTGAACTGCAGCGCGCCCGCCAAAGTGCATCTGAGCTGGAGTCGGAGACAACGGCGTTACGGGGGAGGCTGGCCGAGGTCTCGAGGAAACTCAGAGGGAGCGAGGCGGCGCTGAGGGCCGGCAAGGAGCGCCAGAGCGCGGCGCTGGCCCGGGCCGAGCGGCGCCAGGGACAGCTGGGTGAGCAGGTGCGAGCCTTGACCGCCACGCTGGGTGAGCAGCGCAGCAGCGAGGGGGCGCTGCAGGAGAACCTGAAGCAGCTGCAGAGAACCATGACTGACAGCGAGACGGAACGACGACTCCTGCAGGTCCTCCCTTACCGCCATGAAAAGTGTTACCCTCGGTTTGATCTTTGTTTGTGTTCTCAATATTGCCATTCATTTTAAACCTAAGCCCTAACTTAAAATGGTGACCGAGTAAAATTATTTTGAAACACGTGTTTCAAATTCTCCATTCCTTTCAATGGAGAGCAGCTCTTGTGCGTCGACTTGATTCCGGGTGACACTGAACATATCACTAACCTGAACAGTGTGAGCTTTGATCCCAACGTCCCGACATGTGACGTCACAGGATCTTCTGGACGAAAGCCGAGATGCCCTGGGGGAGAGCAAGAAGCTGAACCGCTCTCTGACGGAACGCAGTCGGACACTTCAGAGGCAACAGGAGGACTCAGAGCGGAAAAACTGCGAGCTAGACAAACACAACAAGAGCCTGCAGCAGGTTAGAACATGAGAAACGTTATTAGGTACGGTGGTTCCTCGCCTAGGTAACTTTACGTTGCATATTCAACCAAACCACCTAACTTGATAAATCTATCTTGAGGCCAACAGGAATTGGTGGGAATTTCATATGGACGAGCTAGCCAAACTAGCATCGATATACCACCATGATTTTACCACTTGTATATTTATTCGCCTAAATTTAAGCTAGAAAAAATGTTGCAAAATCGCCCCAGGGGTAAATGGGCAACAAGGATTAACATTGAAACCTGATACATAATATACATAAAAACTTAAAACTCACACATGCTAATTTTTGTACCTCATGATGGCAGATGGTGAAACGCCTCCTTGGCCAGAGCTCATCAGCTTCATCTGCAGTTATTGCTGGTGTAGCTGACAGTCAATGCATCAATTCTCTTGAAACATCCCAAGCTAAGTGTCACAAAGCACCAGATGAAATCAGCATGGCGATCTGTGCTGTACACCAACAAAATGTAAGTTGCACATTCTGCCGTCTTCCTGGGGGCTTTCATAGGCTGACACGCCACTATAGTTCAGCCCCAAACCTAAAAATAAATTGAGAACGGTTAAGGTATTCTCTATGGCAATTTGAAAGGCTGACAATTTGCCATGGAGGACACCCGGCCGGCTTTACCGAGTTTTTGTGAGCCAATGCAACAACCCCCAGTAAATATAAGACCCGTTTGCACCCATCACAGTGTCAGAATTGGCAACATACGGTACTACAGGCGGCGCAGGAAAGCGTTGAGCGGCCGGAGAGCAAGTTGTCGAATCTGCAAAGCAAGGTGAAGAACCTCCAGGTGGCGCAAAAGGCCGACACGGAAAAAGCTATGATGCAGCTGGGAAAAGACAAAAGTGCTCTCAAGAAGGTATTGGAGAAGGTGAGATAAAAAACAGCAGGAATAGTCATCGCAGTCAACAGCATTGTAAGCATACGTGATGAGCTTCCTGATTGTTTTCATTCGTCAGTGTCGTTGTTTGGTTTCTTCTTCGCACGTGTGCTGATGTGTGGTTAGGCGCAGACGGACAGGCGGAGGATAGAGGAGGCGGTCGCCTCGGAGACGCAAAAATCGCGAGTCTGCCTTGAGCAGCGGCTGGTGGAGAGGCAGGACCAGGTGACAGCCTTGCAGGTCAGCACCACTTGTACTTCAGATGCTGGGCAAATGATGTGCTCTGCTTTGGATCATGCCCCGTTCCTTTTCATAGATAGATGAACAGCTGAAAAGTCTGAAAACCCCCCAAAAAAGTGAAAATTGTCAGGAAAAGCCTACTAGAGCAACTGAGCTTTATTTGGGCCGAATCAGAGACATTTTAAATAGTGGCAGGTGTGTGCTGCCTCAGGTAGAGGGAATTGTGAACAGTTCAAAATAGTAGCAAGCGCAAAAATCCAGGCTTCTGTGAGAAATCAAATAGGAAATGTCAGAAAACCCCGACTAGAAAATCTCAACTCTCTTTGGCGTTAATCATCGATTTAGACTGCAGCTTTATTTTGAAGTCCTCAGTTCATGAAGGTACTATCTGGTGCGCAGGTGTCCACGCTAAAGCAGCAGCTGGACGAGGAGACGCGCAGGCGACAGGCCTGCGTCCACAAGATGCTGCAGCCCAGCGCGCACTCAAGTATGTTGCGACCGCCACATGTGGACAACAACAAAGATGCTTTTGTTTACAACATTGGACTGACTGGACGGGACGAACTGTTCGATTCTTCTGGATGACAAACACTCCCACATGGGTGCAGGCCATCAAGCTTATCAGTCATGACCGGGCTTGGCGCCACTACTGTCAAAAATGCATGTGCCGATACAGTTATGAGTTACCTGTTAAAAGATGTACCTAGTAACGTATCCTTTACTACGGTCGGGCTTTGAAAAGCTTTTCAAGTGGACATGAAAGATAATATGATGTTTATTTGACTCCCCTTTGTCCGATTTTCTTGACATTTTTACACTGTTCTTTGTGTGGCTTTTTTGGTGGGGGGGGGCGGTGGCTTTTGGGTTATATCTCGGGGTGGGATTCCGCGTGGGACAGAAGTGTCTCTCACAACATGCTGACCCATTAATTTTTTTTTTTTTTTTAATCCGGATTTAGTGTTGTGACGGCTGTTTGAGAATGAACTGCTGACGGTGATGCACTGGTTGACGACTGTGTTTGACTACGAACGTTTTTTTCCACTAATGCATGACATTTCTGCACACCAGTTAGCCAATTTGGTTATACTAGTGCGACAGCTACTAGTGAGGCAAAACTGATTTTAATGATTTCTCAGAGCTACTGGTACCACTCGGGAAAGCTAACGGAATTTCATTATCACGAGTATTTAATGTCGCATTTGCTTGTCAACTCGGGCACAGTTTTGTCTCACGAGTAACACGTCGTTCGTTGTTCTACTCGTATGTCAAAGTATTCCAACTCCACTGTAAGAAAAAGAAAAATTGAGCAATCCAACTAAATATTGTCAATTTTGGTACTATTTTGCTGAAGGATTCAGTCATTCTCCTGAATTATTTTACTCGTGATGACAAAGAGCATACTAGTACATGGACCTGAAACTGGGTTTCAACGGTATCAAATAAATGCTCAAAAGGCTTTCTTTTCGTGTGTGTGAGTGAGTGTGCGTGTGTACTTGTTTCATGAGTGCGCCTCCTTGTGTGCTTGTCCCTCGAGTGGCCAGGTCGGACTTCCAGCGCCTTTGATTTCCATAGCCCCGCCTTCAGCCGTGCTCCGGTTACCCGCCTCCCAGTCGCCATTGGCTGGCACCGGCTAATTATGCAAGGTGGTCTATCCCTGCTGGGGGGGGGGGCGTAGGTGTGGCTAAATAGTGAAAGAAGTCCTTTAGCAGGCTTAGAATAGAGCGCTTTTATTGAGGATATCTCACAAGCTCAGTCATCAGGGAACCCCCTTCCAAAAAAAAAAAAAAATTGCAGGATTGTTTACCCTCCCAAAAAAAAATCTGCTCCGGCTCCTGCTCGTTCATTCCCTGAGCAGCATGCGAGGAATCCCCAGTATTCCTCAGACGGCGCGGAGCTGAAGGACCAGCGTGCGACTCTCCAAGACGACTTGTTCACCCCCTCCCGAGGTGGGTTCGAGTCGGGGCCTCCTCCATCCGCTCCCCCCCCTAGGGTGGCTGAGGCCATGCCGCCGCTGTCTTCCTTGCTGTGCGTCCTGCCGCTGCTACTGCTGCCGCCTGGAGGGACGGAGGCGGCCGTGACCCTGGAGGACTTCTACCCCTTCGGCCCGGAGCGGGGGGACGTACAGACGGCGGCCCAGGACGACGGAGGCTCGGGACTCCTGGACATCTCGGTGGCGTTCCCCTTCTTCGGAGACAGGCACACGGGGCTCTATGTGAGTGTGTTTATGTCTTTTGGTGCGTGTGCGTGTATGTATGTGTGAGGACTTGGCAAGGCAAAGTGACAGGACCCCGGGGGGATGAGACGGGGCAGGGTGGCTGGCGGCCAAGCGCTACACTGCAGAGTTTATGCATGTTTTGCTGCGTGTGTGTTTTTACTGCAAAAATCGGACTTTTTTTTTTTCTACAACTGAGAAACACGCCGTGACTGACCCTGACTCACCGCATGGCTCGAGATGAACGTCAGTGGTTTTTGGTTTTGTTTTGATTTTTTACATGAATTCGACATTCACTTTCTGAAGATCACACTACGCGCTCTCTATTCCGCTGCCGCAAAACAGGCTTTGTTTATGTTTATGTGTGACATATCTAAACTTGTCCGAGTTCCGTGTTGGTATTTTTCTCCCTCATAATTGATATGGCAAGCCTGAGATCAACATTCTTAAGCTTCATCTTCAACTCAAAAGCTGTGCTGATCTTAAATCCAAAGTGTAGCAACGCTGCCATCTCCAGGGATCTTTTAGTCGTAACAGTGGCTTACAAACTTGGTTTCACAGACAAGCTGGGGGAGACCTTCTTCCACACCTACCAATTGAAAAACGAATGCATCAAAAAAATGTTTCTTCTCAAAATATAACCTTTTGTTTGGTAATATGTTTAAAAAAAGAGGACAACAATTTGACCAAAAATACAAATTCCTTGAATCAAATCAGAATTTTCATTTTTTAAAATGATTTTCATAAGACAATATAAAAACAATTGAGTTGAGGAAAAAAAAACCCTTAGAAATGTTTGCTTAAAAATCTAATATCTTTATAAATAGGAAGCTTTCCTGAAACTGAAATATTATTTTCTTGGAAAACAAAAACAGTTTTATTCATTGCAAAAATATAGCCTTTTAATATATATATAGCCTGAAAAAAAGGACTTATTGCTTAAAATTACAATATGTTTTCCATCAAAAAAATATGATCTTTCTTTAAAAAAAATCCAGTTGTGTGTTTGTGCACATAACCAACCCCCATTTGTACTGTATTACGTTTCCACCGTACCATGCGACCCGCGGAGGAACCTTTCGCCGGCTTTTCACACACACACTTTGATGTGCCTTAAATCAGCACCACCTGTTGTGTGCTGATGCATCCCCTCCTCCTCCTCCTCCTCATCCCCTCCTCCTTCTCTTCCTCTTCGTATCGTCAAATGGCCACCAGGGGAGGCTGAGGAACCACGGCAACAATGGGCAAAAAAGTCAGTGCAGTGAGTTTCGAATGTGCATTTGAGAGTGCTGGAAAATGTCGCATTGTTTGGTATCTAACTTTTTCCCCTAAACCTTACGTAGGAATCTCCAACCATCATCCAATGAAAGCCGTATAAACAAAATAATAATTTCACATTGTGGGAAGCTAAGTGATAAAATCATGGGGGCAAGTGAAATATATGACTGTTTTCAATATTGTCATTTTTGATCTCATTTTAGGTTACAGTTTTGTATATGAATAAAATACAGGCACAGTATCAATACATAAGTGGCGAGTAGCGATATTGTCGTGGTTCACTTTCAGACCATTTGTAACTATTCTTCCAATGTGTGTCTAACTGACCACAGAGAAGATATCATTATTGTGCTGTATCGTATCGCTTTCACGCACCGTATCAATACAGAAGCAGCAAAGGGGGATATTGACACTTTTTGGCAATGTTTGATGATCTCATCTACTGTCAACTCTTGATATCCTGAGATATCATCGTTTTGTCAGTAGATTTTAGGAACTAATACATTTTGATATTGTCACAGTCTGATTTCCAAGTAAGATAAGATAAGATAAGATAAGAAGATAAGAAAAAACCTTTAAGCACCTGTTTGACCATTTTGACAGTTTATGAATATTCTTTTAACTGCGGATTTAATGAAAAAAAATCCATTTTTCAATGTATGATACCAGTATCGCTTCCAGTGCAATATCAATATGCCAATATCAACCTTGTCACTGTTTGATGTTTTCACATACGCACAATTTTTTTTTCTTTCTTTTTTCAAAACCACAAATGAAAACTAATTTCATTTCAGAACCTTGTCAATAAAAATACAGTATAAACAATATAGTGATAACTGAAAAAAGATTCTAGCGCAATCACGATATCACAATACTGGTAGCATTGTTGTTAAAATATGGCAATAAAATCGTACCATGAGCTTCCCTACCAATCACAGTGATGGGGTACCAGAAGTGGGCGGGGCAAGGCACTTGGCGATGTGTGTGTTGGTAAGCAGAGAAGATAATTAAAAAAAAAAAATGAGGCAACACTGTGAGTTGTATTACAAGTGAAGCTCCCACTATTAGTGTGCAGTCAACTCGCGCGCCGTTTGGCCTCGCTCGTTACATGCAGTTGTTCAACTAGTATGCCAAAGTTGTCCTACTTAATGGGGATCAGCGCATACGAGTACATGGATGTTAAGCTTGGCATCAAGAGTATCAAATAAATGCTTCAAGGGCTTTCCATATGTTGCCTTGCTTTTATTTTGGTCTGCTGCGATTGACAAACACGGAGCCTCAGTAACCAGGCAGGCTGTCACTGTGTTGTTGCGCTTTGTGAGTGGGAGTTTTCACATGTTGCTGTGGGATCCCACCCCCCAATAAGCCTCCCTCCATCACCCCTCCTCCTCCCTCGCCTCAGATAACATGGCAGGGGTCTTCCCCATGGAACTGTCCAGCTGCTTTATCTTAGAAATGACCAATCAAGGCTTAACGCAACCCAGATGTCAGTCCCGTGCGCCGCGGTTCCCAAAAACCGAACAGCCCCTCATGTTTTTTTTCGCCATACTTTTTAACGCAGGGGTTCGGGAGCCTGAAGGTCAGGGAGGACAGAGCACATGTTTGGAAGCAGATGTGAGCGGGAGATAGTTACGATCTGCCGCTTTTTATTGCAGGCGAAAGTGGGGAGAAAGAAGAAGTAGGCGTTGCCGGGAGTGAAGCACATGATGCATGCACGTAGAAGCTTACATATCTGGTCACCATCTGCAAGCGCTCATCTCCAAAGATGTTTTTTTTTTTTTTGTGTGTGTTTGTGTATGTATTCAGTTCTGAGCAGGCCAACAGCCACTAATAGCATAGCTTAGCATATCTTAGCATAGCCTTTGGGGGCTAAAAAAGGTAGCGCGAAGGTATGGGGGAGGCCTTGTCTAGTATAAAGTAATGACTCAACTTTTATATTTTATACTATATATCACTTCGCGTTTTAGCTTATCTTAATTCAGCTTAGCATAGCCGCTCGAAGTTAAAACAAGCGATGAAAAGGCATAGAGGCTATGTATCACTTAGCTTAACATAGCCAATAAGAGCTAAAACAAGCAGCAGTGTGCTAAAGCAAGTTGTGGTCTTAGCTTTGGGGAACCCTCTTCCATCTTCTGGTCCACTGCCCAGTCATGACTCAACTCACTTTACATATCGGCCTACACGTATACTGTATTTATACCTTCACTGAGCTTAGCATAATCACAGATTGCTAAAATAAGTTGTGGTTTTAGCATGGGGGGGGACCCTCTTGTGTACCGTTATCAACTGCATGGTACAAAATGTAAGCAACGGTATGTAAAGAAAAATCTTTAGACAAGCCTCCCTTCTCACCATGACTCCATACTCACAATGTTTTGCCACTGTTTTGCTGACATCTAAAATAGAATTCTATAGTGTATTATTGCTTCATAAAAACAATAGTATAATTTAAAGAGCATTTTAAACAATTTAACAGATGGATCTACTGTTCATTGAGACATGTCAAGTCCTTTCAGCTCATCAGTTAGGGCACCAATATTAGTTGATTTTTGCACAGGATAAAGAATATATGACTGTGATGACTGTTATAATCGCCGTCGACATGTTCAGTCCATTGCCTAAAAGGGTCACAACACCGCCGCATAGATGTTATTTAGCATTAGCCTAAAACTAGCAGACTGGAAGTCGTATGCAGCAAAAGAAGCAAAAAACCCTAAAAACCTCACAAGGCCTGTTAATGAGATGTGAGATATTGTGTTATGTTTGGCAGAAAGCGGGCGAGATTTGTCATGACATAAACTGACGAGTTTCCTTCATGAAAAAAAGGAGCCTCGTAATTTCCCGCAGAGTCGCTGCCATATTAAAGTTGTTCCGATGCGGATTTATGAGCCGAAAAGCCTTTGGAGTAGAGGAAACGTCCATCTTTTGACAAGAAAGAAGTAGTGTTTCACCTCCTGTTGACGCCTGGGCACCTTCTTCTCCATTCGGCAGGTTTGCTTTGGCTCAGCGTAAACCACATCAAAGTTTGTTGTGTTCCATAAAAGCGCCTATGCCGGCAGAAACGCACCCAAGCTAAATCCCGGATATGTTGGCCACTCATTACCCCCCCCCCCCCCGTTTTTTCCCCCCCCCACCACTCCTCCTCTTTTTTTTTTTCAAAAAGAAATATGGACACAGAGATGTTTCTCCTGTGAATATGACCTTGGCGCTGTTTCGACATGACAACGGCGGGCAGCACTTGAACCCGTTCACTCTCTCTCATCAGTGAAAAGCCTCAGGCACCATGCACCGCTTGCTCGGGCTGTTTTTTTTTTTTACTTTGCAACAAAATGCCTTCAGTTTAGCTTCAATGCTCATAAATGTGGTCGGTCACATCCGACTATTCTTGCTGCTTATGTTCAAATTCAGTTAGTTATTTAGCATGCATGTGATCGTATAGGATTATGTTAATATATAATTTACTCTTGTATAGTGAACATCACTCTATTTCTTTTTTTTTTTTGCTACATACAGTACAAGTTACGCTGCTGACTATTCTTGCTGCTTTTGTTCACTTGGTTTTGTTCACTGCTGGCAGTATTGCTGGTGTTAACTTGGTTTCTATTACCACATGGTTTGTTTGCCACGTACAGCGCCGCGGACTGTTGCTGCTGCAGTTCACATTCACTTCCGTGTGATTATGGAATCTATTCATGTATGCATGTCAACAACACTGATGCTGTTTATTGTGCTGCATTATAGATAGCTCATTATTTTCGCTGCTGCGCATTAATTTCCGTATACCGGGCATATACTATTTATTCCTGTATGGCTGTCAATCAGCTGCTGGTGTTATGTTCTTAGCTGCTTATAAATACACTCATTATTGCTGTTCAGTTTGCTATATGCCAACTATTCTCACTGCATGCATTTGTGTATATATAGTGTCGATGTATTCATGTGCAGTTCATCCAATGTCATCTGAAGGCCCTTTTACACACAAACACATCATTAGCGCTTCTCTCTGCAGGCGTGGGAGCTTGACAACTCCCGAGCAGCCGTCCTCATCCCCACCGCTCATCCCGCTATCGGATGGGCTGACCTCTTTGCTCATGCTCCACACACACACACACACACACACACACACACACACACACACACACGCACACACGAGTCCAGGTTCTCACTGCATCCCGCTGATGCGAAGGGGACGAAAACTGCGGTGGGGATCATTAAATGAGCTTCCGTCCTTGCAGCCAAACAAAACTTCCTGGCCTGTTTTTACACCAAATGATGTCTTGAGGGCGCAAAGCTAGAGCTGGCCGGGTGCCTTCCACCGACTCTCCCTTAGCGCTGTTGTTTTGTCATATGTTGTTTGGCCATGTGGGCACCGAGGCAAAGGTCATCCCTGCCCGTTAACTGCCCTCAAACCTTCCTACCTACCGACCTATATGGGTACCTGCCTGCCCGCCTGCGTACCTAGCTAGCTAGCTAGCGACCACCTACCTATATATCTAGGCAGGGAAACTTTATTTATGTTTTTTTTGTTCATGTTTAGAAGACCTTAAAAGGACAGTGTATAGATTTTTTTCAATGTTCATTCATTTTATAAAACCACTATTAAGTGAGCAAAAAATATGTTCTATCACATTAATGTATATTTATTTATGTAATCGTAAGTACCTAGCTACCTACCTAGTCACTTTCCTAGGAAGCTTCCTTCCTTCCTAGCTAGCTCACTAACTAGCTTCCAATGCCTCCACACTTATTGATAGACCTACCATACCTCCTGACGTAACCACCACTTATCTGCCAAACTACTTATCTAGCTATCAACGAGCATTACTATCTGTACGGAGGTAGCAAGTTAGCAAGATTTGTCGCTAGGTCTACCAGGTAGGATATCTTTATGATGATGAGGGTTATGATTTCTAAAACGGAAAACGTGTGAAATTTGCATCTATCTAAATGACTTCCCAGTTGGTAATCTGTTGGTTTGCTAAGCTGCAGTTTGTCGTTTCTCGGAATAAATAAAACTATCATCTGTTTGCCACTCGGGAAGTGCAAACATTTACCAGGACGACGTTGACTGACTGATAATTCACTTGCCACCTCCACAGGTGAACAACAACGGCCTGGTATCCTTCCTCAGGGAGGTGTCCCAGTTCACCCCAGTAGCATTCCCCATCGCGGGGGACCGCCGGGTAGTGGCGCCTTTCTGGGCTGATGTGGACAACCGGCGGGCGGGACACGTCTTCTACCGACAGAGCCACGAGCCGGACATCCTCCGCCGTGCGGCCACCGACATCAGGATGCATTTCTCCGACTTTCCTGACTTCAACGCCACCTGGGTGCTCGTCTCCACCTGGCACAAAGTCACTTTCTATGGTGGCAGTTCTACCACGCCGGTATGATACAATAAACCCACAATTTTCAAAATGAACGCTTAAATTCCTGCGCTATATCTCTCAGGGCGCAGTATACTCATATTGACACAAAAATGTTGTCCTGTTTTTATCCAGGTGAACACATTCCAAGCGGTACTCATTACTGATGGCGAGGTCTCATTTACCATCTTCCAGTACAGCAACATCACCTGGACCACCGGAAGACATGCCAGTAGCGGGGGGGATGAAAATGGCCTGGGAGGCATTGCAGCGCAGGTAAGCATGTTAGCTAGGGAGCGAAGTGGCAGGGTAGATAGGTTAATAGTGAATTAAAATTCGGTTGATAAGTAGAAGGTTTGGTAGTTGGCAGTTATGGAGGTTGGTGTAGGACAATAGGTTGACGGAAGGAAGGAAGAAAACTAAAGTAGGTAGTTACTGTATCCATGTACTACGAGGCAGCACCCACCAGTCTGTTATTTGGTCAACAGTTAAAATCCACCAAATATCGCCAGATTGGTTTCATCCAGTGTTCCAGGTAACATCTTTGATTGGCTACCAGACTGTAATTAGTTTGCAGCCTGATTGGCTCCCCCCTCCCTCACCCCATTGCCGTCTCCCCCCCAGGCAGGTTTTAACGCCGGCGACGGCAAGCGATACTTCAACATTCCTGGCTCACGCACCCAAGATGTGACCCATGTGGAAACCACCACCAACGTGGGCTTCCCTGGCCGCTGGGTTTTTCGCATAGACCACGCCAACGTGGAGGTGGGCACTTGTAACGACTCAGGTAAGACCGCCCTCTTCTGACCAACTGCGGTGACGACTTTCACGCAGTGACTTGTTCTCCCCCCCAGCGTCGGTGTGCCCGCATCTGAGACCGTGCCTTAACGGAGGCCGCTGCATCGACGACTGCATCACGGGAAATCCGTCCTTCACTTGCTCCTGTTTATCGGGATTCACCGGGCGACGATGCCAGATCAGTGAGTCGGGAGCCTCCTTTCATGCTGTCTTGAGTGCAAAATTGACACATCCAAGGCGTAACAGTAGAGCAAATACCTACCTACTGTACTTGTCTTCTAAATACCAACCCGTCTTCCTAGCAACCTACTCATCTTTTAACCCATCTACATTTGAAGTGTACCAAGCTACTTATGTACCTACTTAGCTGAAACTAGCTTTTTAACTCGATAGCTAGCTATCTACCTATCTACCTTGCTACCTTCGTAGCAACCAACCTTTATTCCAATCCGTCTACCTACCTACCTACGCATCGACCTACCTTCGTTCCTTCCTTCCTTCCTTTCATGCAGGACATGGATTTTAGATGTCCCAAACTGTGCCCCTTTCACACTGTCTTTAAAACCCGGCATTTTTCGCCTTTTACATGCCTTTTTGTCGGTATCCCTCACGCACCAACACTGAATTTATGGACCTTTCTAAGCCCCCTTCCACATTGTGTAAAAGCCATCCTCCTTCCTTTGCAGATGTCGACGAGTGTGCTTCGTTGCCTTGCCAGAACGGAGGAACATGTCTAGACCTTGTCAACAGTTTCAGCTGTCAGTGTCCACCTGGATACACCGGGTCTCTGTGTGAAACAGGTAACATCATTGCTTATGTACAAAATAGGAATTGCAATGATTGAAAATATAGAGTGTAAACTAATTACAATTTACGAGATCGATAAATTAGGGTGGGTTTAAAGTATGCCTCCTCTGTATGGATAGAAAATCCAGTTTTATAACAAAATAATATCTGTATGACCAAAGACAACTAAAATAATATAATTTTTTTTAAATACTGTAATGAAATAATGATAAAAAAAAAATAGTGCCTTTTCTGTATTAGCAAATCACCCTGGAACAAAATAATAGCTATCTTTTCGATTCTTACTCGACAAATAAATAAATACGCTGGAAAAAGTGGACATGTCCGGCAAAATAAGATCAATAGATCAATTCACTATTCAATTCTGTGGAGTTTTTACGAACATTCCCACAGCCAGTCGGCGTGAAGATGTATCTGACCTCTTGCGATACTTCATTTGACGGCCAGCGGCGCATACTTGCAGCACGAGGGGAGCCGCGTGGCGGATATATCAATCGGCTGAGTAAATATTGAAATATGGATGTAACATTCCGTTGCAGATGTGGACGAGTGCAGGGATGGGCTGTGCCTCAACGGCGCGCTGTGCGTGCAGACCGCCGCCAATTTCACCTGCGTGTGCCTGCCAGGTTACACCGGCGTGCTGTGCCAGACAGGTGGGACATAGTTTGTCATGCTTGACAGTGAACTCCCCTTTCTACAAACAAAAGGTTATACATTTCGTGCCTCTTTTCACTCTGTTGCTGTCAAGAAAGTTGAGATGATTGTTTGACGTCATTTGGAGCAAATGAGAGATTGTAAAAACAAGAAGCAAACTGGTAAATCGCCATAGATGGGCTAATTAATTTTAGCATCATTGTTCAGTGAAAGGCAATATAGCATGTGTTCACTGTACTTCTCAATACATTTGTATTTTTTATACCAATAATAATTTGAGTTTGTGTCACATTATGCCGCAGAGAGGGACAAGTGCAACTCACAGCCCTGCCTGAATGGAGGCCAGTGCATCAATCACGGCAGCAACTTTACCTGCATTTGTCCCGCGCCATTCACAGGAGTCGTCTGCGAGTCAGGTGAAATTCAGGTCAAATTTTCTGGAAGTCTTTTGGTCATTTATGTTGTCAGATGAGGGGGTAGTGACAAAATAAGTCCAAAATAAAGGATATACCATATACAGTAGAACAGAGGATAAAGTGCAATTTTTTTCCAGTGTAAAGTTATTTTTTCAGTTAAAAAAAAAACAAAAAGTTTATACAGTAGAACAGAGGATAAAGTGCAATTTTTTTTTCCAGAGTAAAGTTATATTTTTTCAGTTGGAAAAAAAAAAAAAAAAAAGTGATTATGAACATTAAAGCTGTGTTTTTCCAAGGCATTGATTTTGTCATTTTGTATCCCATAGAGCTGATGGAGCTTCAGTTCAATTCAACTGTGTCCCAAAACCAAACCGGTGAGCTCTAAGACGACTTTATCCGATACGTTTCTTTTGTGGTTGGTTGTGAGTTTTTTTGTTTTTTTGGGGTGGGTCTTGCTGATGCGTTGTTGTAATTATCAATAACAACACATTTTAGTTGGGGTAATATGCTAGATAATGTTGAATGTTTTTTTCAAGAAAATAATCATTTTAGGGGACAGAAATCATCATATAACAAAAATAAAGGCCTATTTTATTTTTAGGCATAGCATATCCTTATCCACAGCCATTCATCACTCGTTGTAACCTGAGGCATTGTCGGTTCCTGTAAATATTTGTTTTATGGAGCATTTTTTTGTTTTTTTTATGAGTTGACCAACAAAAGAGGAAGCGCTTTGTCTAGACAGCCAAATGTTTCTTTATGAGGGGATGCCACACTCTGTGGTATTCAGCTCATTGCTTCCTGCTGCGGAAATATGCGGCTACTTATTTGCTCCTCTGGAACACAGGCTGCGCGCCACACTGAGCACCAAAACACAACCAAGATGCATTTTGGGAGAATAAAAGGAAAATAGTATCCGAATTACATTTTTGTAAAGTTGTTAGAAAATATGACCAAGTGTTGTACTATGAGGGCAAAGACATTTTTCAGTCATAAATTGTATTCTTGTTTTTTAAGAGTATAAATTATGTATAAATTATGTAGTTTGTTGTTGTTGTTGTTGTTTTTTGAAGTAATACAGTAGTGTGTCTTGAAGAGGAAAAGGCTTAATATTTTGAGAACTAAGGGGTCTTTTGGGGAAAATGGCATCATAGTTTCAGAAGTTGTAATTTTTATTAAGTAAGGTTTAAAAAATATATTTAATATTCTATAATAAATATTTGTTTCATGAAAAAAGTAACTTTTTTTGAGAAGTTGCTATATTCCGAGAATAAGGACATTGTGAAGAATAAATGTGTAATTTTAAAAATAACTTTAAAATGGAATATTATAAGAATGAAGATGGGAGGGTTTCAAAATGCCAGTTCTTGCACAGTGATGTATACCCTCAAAAGCTCTTTAATTTCCTGCTAAGTCATGTGACAAAATGATTGTTTTTACAACCATGTGGTTTGATTCAAAATGTTAACGAAAAACGTGTCTTTTGGTAATTGTGTTTCTTTGTTGAGTTGTGGCGGCGAGAGAGCGGAAAACAGCATCATATTGTGCCCCGCCGTGACCAAGCTCTTTAATAGCACTGAATCTCCAGCAAACAGCATGCAACTTGTCACCCTTGAGCTCAACTAAGTGTCTCCTAAATCTCCCCCGATGCTCTTTGTAATGGCGAGTGGAAAAAAAACAACAACAAAAAGTAGGACATAAGGAGCGCGTCGTGGCTTCAAAGGTAACCAGTGAAAGAGCACGTTGTGCTAATGAAGCGTCTGTTAATCGGCCCCAGGGTTCTTGCCACATCGGCTCCGTATCACGAGAAGAATTAACTTCAAAGGCCAGGCATTTTTGTGTTGCGTGATATGGCTGCTTCCTCCGCCTCGACGCTTCAATTAGGACGCCGAGGGTAAACAACAACATCTTTGTGGCCCCGAGGTGACTGCTAGTAACGACTGAAGAATGCAATTTCTCTAACATGTGCATACTGAATCTCCAGTGCGGAATTGAGTGGATCCTATTAGCTGACAGAACTTTTTGTGTTCGCCTTGGTTCCTCAGAGTCTCGCTCTGTCCCACTGTCATATGGTGTTCCACAGGATTCAATTTTGGGGCCCCTGCTGATTTCATTGTATTTGCTGTCCCTCGGCTTCCATCTTAAGAAAACATTGTATTTACTTCCACTGCTATGCAGATGACTGTCAGATCTATGTCCCGCTGAGCAAAAAGGATGTTTTCTCATTAAGGTCACTTCAGTCCTGTCTGGAGGAAATCAAGATCTGGGTGGCACTGAATTTCTTGAATTTCAATGAAAAGAAAACAGAAGTTATGATGTTTGGTCCTAGTGGCCCTTATGCATTCCACCCTGCTGATTTGGGGCCCCTGGCACCTTTTCTAAAACCCACAGTCTTGAATTGGGGTTTTAAATTGGACTGGCAAATGGGCGCTGTTCTTAAATCCAGCTTTTTTCATCTTGGGCTGCTGGCTAAGGTTAAGCTTCGTCCTTTTTCAACGGCACTTAGTAACAGTAGTCCATGCCTTTGTTACATCTCAGTCAGCCAATCCTCCCTCAAGTGTCTTCAGTCCAAAATTCTGCTGCTCGCCTCTTAACTGGTGCTCATAGGAGGGAGCACATACTGTAACTCCAACTCTGGCCTGCCTTCACTGGCTCCTTGTACAGTTTAGAGATCTTTTTATGACTTTTGTTTGTTTTCAAATATTTAAATGGCCTCGACCCTCTTGACCACTCTCAGCCGTTCTAACCAGACAAGGGAGGTTGTGAACAATACTTGTGTAAAATACTTGCATTAGTTACGGTATGTTGTCATGAAAATGTGGAATAATGATACATGGACAGTTTCTGAATGTGATAGTTCCCAATGTCCTGAATGACCTCACCAGGTTAAAGTTGGAATGACTTAATCAGATGAATGAGACTTGAAGTTGGAATGGTTGGAAGGAGCAAGTCGCTATGGAAATGGATAGTGTCTTTCAGTGGGATTATCTTCCTGGGAAAATGTGGCATTTTTCTTCATGCCTTGAAATTTATGGATCAGGATTTTGAAATGGTTTGAATCAGTTGAGAAATGCAGAAGCAGTACAATGTCAAGTGGGCAAAATAATAAAAGCTTTCATTTTGGATGCAGTATAACACGTGTGTGAATGCACTTCAGCATTCACACAATATTAAGTCACATGACAGCTAATCAATAACAAGATGAAAGGCGTTCGGTATCCACTACAGATGGTTGCCATTCATTCATTCCAGCCCGCAGCCTGCCTTTTGTTTACATTTGGATCAGCACCCAAATCCACTCGCTAACTGTTTCTGTCCGTGTGTGCGCGTGTGCTCGTGCGTGCGTGCAGAGGAATGTCTGTGCCAAAATGGCGGCGTCTGTGTGGACAGCAACGGGACGTGCAAATGTCCCGCCTCCTACACGGGACTCTACTGCCAGTTCGGTAAGTCTGAACTGAACCCTGTTTATTACTTATAAGTTGCCTGTTAGACTGACCTATAAGAAAAAAGACAGCATTGTATATTTATAACACCACAATGTTCAACCAAACCACATCATTGGTTTGAACAGAAGTCTGCAGCTTAATGCTAACACCATAATGTAAAACACCAAAGATGGGCTAACGGAAATTAGCTTACATATTGTATATTGTAAGTGTTCGACGGAACCATATTATTCAGCCTAACACTGCTAACATTTTAATGCTAACATAAGACTTTCTCACAGAAATTACCATTGATGTTGTATAGTGCACGATTCTTTAACACACAAAGCAGTAACAAAAACAGAAACACTCATAGTTATAGGCATATACTGTATTCTCCGAACTAAATGTTCAACCAAGTCTTAATTAGGTTGTGTAACAAAAGACAGACAGCTAATTGCTAACATATAAAGTAAAATGTGAGATGCCAAAGACTGTCAAACAGAAATTAGCATTGATGTTGGTGATGATAAAGCTTCAAACAACATTAATTTACACAGACAGCTGCAACACACACACACACTGCTCTGCTTGTTCTCGTTCTTAATTGCGCTACAGCTTCATCTAGCGGAGCTCAGTGCTCTCTGGCATGTTGTGTGGCAGGAAATGGTACTACAATGAAGGCATACAACTCCTTTTTGTGTGTTATGTTCAGAAGTGACGCAGATGCCGTGCAGCAACAATCATCCGTGTCCAGACGGTGGGCCATGTTTGGAGTACGGGGGTGCGTACTTATGCACGTGTCAGACCAGCCCCGCAGAACGAGACCAGCAGGACTTTTACCCTTATGGTAAGAGCGCTCAGCCATGGCCACTAAGACATTTACAAACGTCCCACTTGTCATTTGTAGAACCACGCTGGCACGTAATTTGGGGAGAATATCGTAAAGTTGTATTTTTTTAGATAAATGTTATTTTTAAATATTACTTGAATGAATTTCTTTTTTTTTAAGTGAAATCTTTTTTCGAGAAAGAAAACAATAAGAGAATGTAGTCATATTTTGGAAGACCAAAAAGTAAAATATCATTAAGAAAGTTATTTTTATTTTTTTTTTCATCTTTCCACTGTGGTTGCTCGAATAGCCCTTTGGCAGGTTTGCGGTTTTCAAAACCAGACCAGATGGAAGGAACACAGTCAAGTCTCGCTTTGTGTTTTTCAGTACAGCCCCGATCCGTCTGCGACTCGACCCCGTGTCTCAACGGCGGCTACTGCTACGAGCGTGACGGAGGGTACACGTGCCAGTGTGCCCACGGACACTGGGGCAAGCACTGCGAGAAAGGTACCCACGCCGATTAGGACATTTACACGGGGGCCAAACTCAGTACCAAATGACCAAATGTTCCCTACGTGTGGTTGCAGTGCGACTCAACACATGCGCCTCTGGTCCGTGTCGCAACGGGGGCTCGTGCAGGGAGGAGGCGGGCAGCTACAGATGCGTGTGTCCTTACAGGTTCACTGGGAAGCACTGTGAAGTGGGTGAGTGAGCATTTAAGGTTTCATCTGATTGGTACAAGTTAGATAAAGAGCATACAGTTCCATAGGCCTTTGCGATATGCATATATTTTTTTAAATATTTATTTTTGATAAAATTTTGCAAAAATGTGTCCATTAGGGAAGCCTGATCCATGCGCGTCCAGTCCTTGTGTGAATGGAGGGACATGCTTCCACTACATCGGGAAGTACAAGTGTGAGTGCACCGACTCCTTCACTGGAAGACATTGTGAGGTCAACACTGCCACCGCCATGCACCGTCACACAGGTCAGCTATCCCACCAAAAATATTCTTCTCAATCAAATGCAAGTTATTGATAAAAAAAAAAAAAATGATACAAGAAACATTCTTTGTATAGAAATCATTTTTTTTTTTTTTTTTTTACTCAAAATACAAAATATTTCTTTAAAAAAAAAATCAACTTTATTTTTCTTGTAATATTCATTCATATTTCTGTTTTAATACAACATTATTCTTTTAGGGTTAGGATTATTCTCTGAAAAAGCAAACATTATTTTCAGAAAAGCACACTTGTTCACAGAAATAAAACGTATTAGGAATATATTTTATAGTTTTTTAAAATAATTTTGCAAAAATACATTCATAAAAAAGACATTACAGTATTGGAATATTATTACTATTTTGTTAAAAAAAACACCCATCATTCAAAAAAAAAAAAAAAATATATATATATATATATATATATATATTTTTTTTTTTTTTTTATACTGTACAACATTCTTTTTAGAAGAAACAAATTTGGCACTTAAAGATACGTCATTATTTCCGTACTACTAAAATGATTCTCTAAAAATGTATAATACCCAAAGCTTTTTTTAAGTCATTTTTTTTTCCATGCTCATTTTTTACTTAAATCTTGGAATGTTACACTTGGCCCCAAAATAGGACAATATTCTGGTACTCCTCCACTTTTAATCTGACGCACCCTCGGGAATGGTGCTCCGATGATCCCGACTGCGTCCGTGTTACGCTAATCTTAGCGTGGTTGCTGCCCTGTAGCAGCACGAGCCCATATATAAGCGAGTAAAAGCTATTTCAAGTCAAAGCCCAGGACACATGAGCATTGACGCCAAGCTCAGTTTAGCCTCAATGTGCCCCTGTTGCCATTGCCATGTCCTGGTGACCCACCTCACTTTACATATTTTTCAGTGTAACGCAGAGCGGTGATTTAATCTTTAAATTACTGCGTTAAAAAGACTAGCTCCTAATTTGTCATTCAAATAGCCCAGTGGACATCGCTGCTATGTAACATTTTATTTCCACTGGTCCATGGGGCTGGTGGGATTGAGCCCCATGAATTCTGCCTAGCGACAAATGACAAGGCAAAGGTGAACCAGGAAGTAGCCTTGAAACAGCAATTTTTTTCCTTCACATTTTTTGATAGTTGGAATTATTTTTGCAGTATTTGTTTCTTAAAAACTATATTGCTATTCCCACAGTTATCCCCCCACCCAAAACCTTTTACAATAAAATAAAATACTAAATCATACATGTGAATGCTTTTGCGGAATTTGACTTTTTTTCTGAAAACATTTGTTTTTCTTGCTAACATGCTAACAAACAGCACATGATTGTTGATATTTCAGAGGTGGGTTGCGGGCCACCGCCGCAGGTAGATCACGCCGAGGTTCAGTTTTCGTCCACCTTGCCGGGATCGGTGGCCATTTACCTCTGCCGGGCGGGATATGTTGCGGTACCCAGAGCCACGCAGAGTGTCTGCGGCGTCCAGGGCGACTGGAGCCAGCCCCCCGTCTGTGAGGGTACGTCACAAGAACACACAAATATGCCATCGGAGCATATATTCTATATCCTGATCCAGTTTTATCCATGTACAGTACTAGTCCACTTGCGTTTTGGCAGTGGGGGATTCTATCCTATGTTATTCGCATAAAAACGACATTCAACCTTAACATTACTATATTGAAGTATGGTTGAGGAATTTCATTTAAACACAAGTATTGGTTTGCTGCTATCTAGTGGCATCAATGGGCAATCATTAACCTTTTTAGTAGGGCATCGTGACTTGCTGATTTTCGCTCCTCGGAGGTCGGTACCTATGGGGATTTAGCAGGATATCAAAACTATGAGAGAAATGCTCAATTTGACTTTCATACACAAGTGATGCTAGTTGTTTATATCCGTCCTCCAGAACTCAACGAGTGCTCGTCTGAGCCATGCGTCAATGGCGGGACATGTCACAACCACGGAGAGTCTTATGTGTGTGACTGTGAGCAAGGCTATAGCGGGAAACAGTGTCAGACAGGTAAGTGCTTCCATTTTTCATTTTAATAAATGACCAAAACTGTAAAAAAAAAAAAAAGCATTTTCCTAATTGCTATTATGTTAAGTGTAGAGTAATTTAAATAAATGTTGGAGTGTAGCTATAAAATAAAACGTGGAGAGGAAATGCTTTACGGCTCCATGGTTCATATTAACAGGCGTGTGTGCTGACCCTGCTGAACCTATCGTTAATGTCCACTCTATTCTATGGAAGACATCAACGAGTGCTTGTCGGAGCCTTGCAAGAACGGAGGAACCTGCGAGAACCAGGCAGGGTCCTACTTGTGTCACTGCCCAGCGGGCCTCAAAGGGCGCCACTGTCAAACAGGTACACTTAAAACCACACACATGCTATTCAATCGATAAGTTAATAACCACACAAAGTGCTCATGTTGACGGTATTGTGTGTGTGTGTGTGTGTGTGTGTGTGTGTGTGTGTGTGTGTGGGTGTGCGCGCGTGCGTGTGTGCATGCATAGAGCAGGACAGCTGCGAGTCTAACCCATGTCTGAACGGCGGCGTGTGTCGTGCCTACAAGAGGACATATATGTGCACGTGCAAGGATGGCTTCTTCGGCGACCAGTGCCAGATGTGTGAGTGCCCTTCCTTCCTCTTTTTCCTCTTCCTCAAGTTCAGTCAGTTCACAGTTTGGAGCAGCGTAGTGGAAAGTGTTGGACTTTGTCGCCCCCCAGTGGAGGATCCCTGTGTGCTGCATCCCTGCGGCAGCAGGGGTGAGTGCAGAAGCGACAGGAGAGGAAACTACAACTGCGTGTGCAAAGCCGGACACACCGGGAAAGACTGTGAGAAAGGTCTGAAATCTATATTTGATTTGATTTATGTATTATTTAAAAGGTTTCATATTGTTGTTTTAGCTAGCTAACTCACTCCCACCTTCGCCGACTACCTACCTTGTGATACCTTGTTACCTTACCTTCAATAGATACTCAGAACAACTTAACTCCTGTCTTTCTCCCAAGCTACATGCCTACCTAGCTCCTCACCAAACTATTATTAACTAACTAACTCACTACATGCCTCGCGACCAACCGACAATATCCATATACTGCACAACATACCACTATCTGGAGAGACCATCTACCTTACTTTACTTCCTACCTACCTACCTAGCTGCCAAACAACCAACCTCGTCACCTTCCTATTAACCTACCTTCTTCCCAATCTAGCGACCTACGAAGTGTTCCAATCTAACTAACTGCCAACCTACCCAGCTACCCACATACCCAGCTACCAAATGACATACCCTACCTACTTGGCTATCTACCTAGCTCCATGACTACTTAGATACCTAGTTATTGCCTACATACCTAGTTACCAAATTAGCTAGCTAGCTATCAACCTGCCATCCTACCTAGCTCTTTAGCTTCCCACATATCTACCTACCTAGCTACCTACCAACATATCACACTACCAAATTAGCAACCCTCAGCGAGCTATCTAGTGAACAAGATGGTTAGCAACCAAGGTAGCTACCGACCTACCTAATAAACTATCCGTGCAAAAAAACTATGTCAAAAAGCTATAATCACGGTGGCATTCCACTGTTCATATTTTGATGGCTACCCTCACTGGTCATCATATTCTGCCAACTGTTCCCAGATCTGCTGCCACCCTCGGGCCTGCACGTGCAGCGTGTGGAGGAGAGCGAGATGGAGCTGCGCTGGGACCAGCCGGAGGCATCCTCTGCAGCGTGGCTGACCGGCTTCGTGGTGACGTACGCGCCACATGGCCGCGGAGGCGCTCGCAAGGTCGACTTTCTGGACCGGCAGAGCCGGTGGCACGTCCTGCGAAGTTTGGTGCCTGGCCTGCTCTACAACATCTCCACCTACTCCATCAAGCGAAATGCCAACAACGACCACGTCAGCAGGCCAGCCACCGCTCTCATACGTACCAGTCAGTGACAGACACACCACTGTTTTTTTTCCCCCCCTTAAATGCACTACACACAAATGCTCTCACATTTGTACCACTTTTTTTTTGCTGAAACGCACTACCATATCGCTTTCACACATACAGTAATACTGTAACGCTCTCACACTCCCTACTTTCATTTGTTTGGGCTCACAGGGACTGAACCCTTTCACACTTCTACTGAAATGCTCTCGTCCTTTACCGATAACTGAAAGGTTGTCATATAATATGCTGATGTTCTCATACATTCAACTAAAGTACTCATGTGATTTAGCTTAGTTGAGTGATTGTGTGGGAGGTTTTCAACATTTAATCTTGAATGATGTGTTCATGCTAACTGTTCCGTTTCTGTTCACAACGAAGGGCCTCGGCGGGTGGAGCATCTGCAGGTCTTGAACGTGTCATCGTCTGAGGTGTGGCTGAGCTGGAGCCTCAACATCAAAACGACTCGCCACGCGCCCGTCAGCAGGATTAGAGTCACACTCACGCCCGAGGACGGCGGTCAAGCGCACACGGCCCTGCTCAACGCCACCATCAGCGAACACGCCTTCAGGTGAGACCCTGAGCCCACAGCCAACCAGTCACCGATCACTACCAACTGTCTACCGATCGACCGAGCAACCTGCCTACATTGCTCCCTATTTGCCTACAATCCTAGCTAGCTTGCTCCTTAGCTAACTAGCCACCTACATACCTACTTTTCAACTACTAAGCTAACTAGCTACCTATTCCCTATCAAAATGACTTTAAAATAGAAAGTGTGGGTATTTTCCTACCACCAGAGGATGCCGTTGTACAACTCTCTATGTTGTAATAGAACATCTATTGTGATGTTTTCAGTTCTCTACTTCCTGCCCACAAGTACACAGTGGACGTGTTGACCCAAAGTGGACTCAGGCCAGACGAGTTTCCCTCCACAAGCCACTCGGCAGGACCCTTGCACTTTTGGACCAGTAGGCTACTTCTTTTTTCTTTACTTTTGTAAGTCAGCTAGCTTAATGCTGATATGTGAAAGACCTTAGACTTGTGGAAATTAGCGCAGATTTTATGATAATTATAAACCTGATAAACCCGAATAAAAAGTTGGGGGGGTGTTAAGAGAAGAAATTTCTCAAGAATGAAAAGCAGCATTTTGTCTTTGGGCGGGGTTATTTTTTTCAAGATTTTTTTTAAAGTTTGATTTCCCCTTCTTCCCCTACCGTCTCCACAAGTTGACATCTTATGAGTTTGTTTTTTCAAGAATAGCTTTGTTCTAGAATAAACTACAGGTATTATTTTTCATGAATAATCATCACATTCTAGTAAAAAGTTTTCAAGCATTTTTTGTGAAAAATACACATTTATTGATTTAACAATAAAATGATATTTTTCAAGAATACAGCCATATTTTTCAAAAATAAAAAGTCATTTTTGTAGAGTTGTATGCGTATGCAAAGTCATTACAAGTAATCTTACAAGTTGTATTTCTTCAAGAAAGAATCAATAGTAGTTTTTAATCCAAGAACGTTATCTTTTTTTCTAGATTTTTATTTTTCCTCGTGTTTTTTTTTTTTTTTTTAAAATAAGCATTTTATTCGAGAAAACGTTGCATCCTTCAGAAATAAAAAGTTACGCTTTGCCATGTTGCCTTCAGAGCCCCTCCCTCCGCAGAACCTGTCGCTGGCCCACGTCACCGCCAACTCGGCCGCCATCACCTGGACCCCCGACCCGGGGCTCGTATCCGACGGCTTTGTGGTGAACGTGACGCGAGGGCTGACCACCAGGAGCCGCTTCCTACCCGGCGGCCTGCTTGGCTCGTACACGCTCCGAGAGCTGACGCCAGCTCAGCTCTACCGACTCGCCCTGACTTCCGTCAAGAAGGCGGGACAGGAGCAGGTCCATAGCCAGCCTCAGTACCTGGACTTCATCACCTGTGCGTACCACAAGTTGACTTTAGAGATCATTTCCCTTCTCTTCACTCTGGAATCAAGCTTTATGTAATCTATTAACAACAAAAAGACGCTTTCCGTTTGTGCTTCTTTGGGCTCAGTGCCGATGGAGCCCAGGCCCAGAAGAAGAGAACGCCCGACCAAGGTGGGACGAAGGCCGTCTCAACCTCAGGACCTGGGAGGTGGAGCAGAACCGAGGTAGGGAATTAATCAATCAAAATCATTGAACAAATATTGAGCGATTGTATGTGGGGGGAGGGGAGTGGAATAATAATAAAAAGAAATAATGAATTGGACTCACATGGATGTTCTCTGCAGGTACACTGAAATGATTGACAGGAGGGGAAAGATCACAGCCAAGTTCACACACTTGCCAAGAAAAGCCATTCGACATCGGAACAGTAAGCATAATCGCAAATCCCGCTCTCTCTCTCACTCTCTGTCTCTCTCTCTCTCTCTCGCTCTATTAATTATGAAAGTTGTATGGTAATTGTGAACTCACTTCACAAGCAGCAGCAGTTTGGTAGTTTGCAATTCTTCCCCCCCCCAAAAAAAATAAGTCTCTTCAAGCTGTTGACTACCTCACCCAGTTGAAGTTACTGTCACACTAAACTAAAACAAAGACAGTTCCACATTGTGTATTTAAAATAACCTTTGCATTTTTTTCTTCTTTACCTATGTAGTATTTTGATATTGATATCGTGTTGGCCTTTTATGGTCGTCACATCTCAGTCTTTTCCCCCCCCCCACTTTAGGTTTTCTACATCTGCGTGTTTGTGTGACACTTGTTTACGTTGAGGAGGCCCCCCAAAAATCTCTTGCTTAAGTCGTTCCATGTGTGTGTCTAGATTAGGCAAAAGGATCTCTTGTGTTGTTTTTGTTGTTTTTTGACATGTTAAGATGTGTTGTTATGCTTTGGTAATTGAATCATGCTGCCGATGACATCATCACCTCCTAAAAGGTCACAAGCGTGACTCCACAGTGTTGCAGGACTCCTCAACTGATGTTACTGTAAAACACTCAAATTAGATTTATTTATTTATTGCAAGGAGATTTTGTAATCTTACGAGTAGTTACATTTTTCTAGAAAGAAAAAAATTTTTCTCTGTTGTATTTTTCATTTTTCAGACTTTTGCAAAACAAAGCAGTGTGCTTTAAAAACAAAATGCGCCATTGTCTTTGTTTTATATTTAGATTGACAGTCAACTCTAAGTAGTGTTGGCATGAAACAGCACCAAACTTTGTTGTGCAGTGAGTTGAGTTGTTTTTGCATGGCAGAACCCCAGCCGCCGGTTCGATTGGAGAGGATGGAGGAGACCACAAATAAAATCAGCCTGGCACTCGAGATTCAGGAGCAGACCACATCCAGGGCAAAACTTGGTAGGTGTGGCACAGTCGAATTTTCTGAAGAGTGCAGACAAAGAGCGATGGATAAGGAGAAGGTTCTGTTATTTTTCTGAGGCTGCTTTGCTCCATCCAGCACTTGGGCAGGATACAAAATCTTTCATGACAAATTGGTGTTAAATCAAGTTGTATTTGCTTCAGGACTTGTAGATCTTAAAGATTAAGATGTTGGCTTTTTTTTTTTTTTTTTTGGTGTTATGAATATTAAATGTGTTTGTTCTATTTTTTCAGAGTCGGCCCAAGACTGTCTCAGTGTGCCATGCCTAAATGGCGGCACATGCAGAAATGGTGGCGACTCACATGTCTGCGACTGCACCACTGGGTTCAAAGGCACACAGTGTGAATTGTGTATGTCAGCCTCGACACACACACATATACACACACACACACACACACACACACACACAGAGTCCAGATTCAACTCTCAGACAAGCACCTCTTTAAAACAGTGACGCTCATCATTTGGCTCGTTTTCCACATCAATTGGCTTTTTGGCAGCTTTTTGAAACGCTATGGGCCACCGTATGATAACTAATGGAGCATGCTCTTTTGCTGTTGGATTCTCGGGATGGCTTTTGTCCCGAATTTGAACCCAGGACCTGTGGCAATCATTGGAGCAATCGTAGCCAAAGACCACGAAGCCACATTTTAATTCATGTCATCCTTTACTTGTCACAGGGCAAATAAAACATCTTGGCCTGTGATACATGGTAGCCAATGAGACAAGTCAAGGTTTTCTTTTTCTTCCTTCACACTCTGGGTTGTTGGATTATGGGTTTGAGTCTATCTTGTGGTCAGTGAGGTCTGTGGTTCAAATCTTAGTGGAGCTTTCTCCATTTTTCTTCAACCATATTGTCCCGAGAGGATAATTTTTTTTCCCCCGCAAGACCGAGACTCCACAAGATTAACATCAGCAAAAACAGACAACACTTTAGAAAATACAGCAAACATTACAAAGCAATGCTGTGCGGCGCCTGTTGTCGAGTCACCTGATTGTGGGAATGAGGGTTGGCAAAAAGATCCATCCTGCACTTCACTGTCATCAATCTGCATGATATGATCTTTGGTACCAGTTTCACAAGGTGGTGCATGTCTATCTGCATCTCAACACACACACATATACACACACACACACACACACACACACACACAGAGTCCAGATTCAACTCTCAGACAAGCACCTCTTTAAAACAGTGACGCTCATCATTTGGCTCGTTTTCCACATCAATTGGCTTTTTGGCAGCTTTTTGAAACGCTATGGGCCACCGTATGATAACTAATGGAGCATGCTCTTTTGCTGTTGGATTCTCGGGATGGCTTTTGTCCCGAATTTGAACCCAGGACCTGTGGCAATCATTGGAGCAATCGTAGCCAAAGACCACGAAGCCACATTTTAATTCATGTCATCCTTTACTTGTCACAGGGCAAATAAAACATCTTGGCCTGTGATACATGGTAGCCAATGAGACAAGTCAAGGTTTTCTTTTTCTTCCTTCACACTCTGGGTTGTTGGATTATGGGTTTGAGTCTATCTTGTGGTCAGTGAGGTCTGTGGTTCAAATCTTAGTGGAGCTTTCTCCATTTTTCTTCAACCATATTGTCCCGAGAGGATAATTTTTTTTCCCCCGCAAGACCGAGACTCCACAAGATTAACATCAGCAAAAACAGACAACACTTTAGAAAATACAGCAAACATTACAAAGCAATGCTGTGCGGCGCCTGTTGTCGAGTCACCTGATTGTGGGAATGAGGGTTGGCAAAAAGATCCATCCTGCACTTCACTGTCATCAATCTGCATGATATGAGTCTTGCTTCAGATGACGGAAGATTATCAGACAATAATTTAGTCTTTTTTTTTTTTTTAACCTAGAAAAACCTTTTTAATATCACAAGAATTCTGCAAGATTTTTTTAAAATAAAAAAGTAGTAATCATCCAAGACTTTTTTTATTTTTATTTTATTTTTATTATTATTACTTTTTAACAAAACATTTTTATTTTACAAGCAAATTATCTGACAATAAAAATTAAATACCAACTTTACAAGAGTTATTTCAATTTTTTTTTAATAAAAAAAGTAGCAATCTTTTTTTTTTTTGACAAACTAAGAAATAAATTGTAATCTTGCAAGATTTAGGTCAGATTTTTTTTGTCAAATTCTATTTCCCCAATACAAAACAAAAATGAAGTCCTTTTTCGCAACATATTTAAAAATAAAAAAGTAGTAATGTTATGAGCTTATTGTCGTATTTTTTTTTTTAACAGAAAGTCATATTTTGGGCCTGTCAAGCACGAGAGTTTAGCCCATCTGACTTTAAGGCTCCAGACGGGGTGCATCTACATTTTTTTTATTCGAGCAACACCTTGTCTGTGTCTTAACAGGAGACAGCAGACGACGGGGCTTTGAAATTGTGATGCTAATTTACTCTTAAGCATGTAAGCATTTGCTCATTTGGCGCTTGGGCGTTACAGCAGTTGTTAAGTTAACCTATCGGCTTGTCCAAAACTGAGAACCATGAGAAAGTAAAAAAACCAAAAAAAAAAAAAAAAAACTAAACAAAACCAAAAAAGGATTGCAAAATAACCAGATTGCGATGTTTCCTTTTGCCCAGCCTGCCAGCGAGTGCCTCACCCGTGCACTCGCCTCTACTCGGAGACGACGAGCGTGCCCGTGTGGGAGGGTGACGTCTGCCACTACGTGTAAGTCACCACCATTAAGTTGCATTTTCTCCAGAAACAAAGAGAGCCTTTTCACACAAGAGGACGTACTACCAGAATTAAAACATCAACAGAATATTTTTTTTTTTTTTTAAAAACATTTTTTTCAAGAATTTTCCAAAGTGCATCGGTTAAAATGAAGTCGTATATTTGAATGCCGAACTGTGATTATGGGGGATCCACTTGGAAAAAAGTCACTTTTAGAAATAAAGGCAAAGAATTCTTTGAATGTAAAGCAATTATATAATATTAAATATAATCATAGAATATCATATTGAATCCAGAAAAAAATATATTTTTGTGGAGAAAGTTGTTTTTTGTGACGGGGAAAGCGTCTTTTTTTTAATCTTTTGGAAAAGACCATGTTTAGCTTTTTTCAAGAAAATAAATTGCAATGTTATGAGAAGAAAGTTGTGTTTTTCATTGAATAAAAGTTTTTTATTCTTGCAATTTTCAATGAAAAGGACCATTTTTGAATGGGGGTTTACAAAAAGAAGCAGTAATCTTACATTTGTTAAGAGAAAAAAAATGAAAACAAGAATAAGCATTCTTGTGAAAAACTATTAAACATTACACGAATGAAATGAAAGTTTTCCTCACCAAATTATGACTTTAATCTTGTTGCATTACAACTTTTTTTCTCAAAAAAAATGGCTCCTCGTATGTGAATGACTTTTTACTCATCATGTCATAGTTTCTTTCCAGTCTGTGTTCATTTTTTTATCTCATCTTTGCTCCTTTTTTTGTTCTTGCAGGTACAAAAGAACGTATAAAGTGCAGCAGGATGTTTGCTACCAAGAAGTTTGTGAATCAACCCTTCTGAAGAAAAGTCAGGGTGAGTTCAAATCTGATATCACAATTATAATAAAATACAATCAAACCAAGTACTTCACGTCTGTCTTTTTCTCATCTCCGACAGTAACTGTCAGAAGAACAAGCAGACAACAGTAAAGGTTTGTCTTTTTTTACTTCAATTATATCATAATATGGATCACATAAACCAGTTATAAAATCCCTGCATGGAAATGGCTAAAAAGTCTTAAAAACTTCAGAACTGGACAACATTGTTGTGGGGAAATAAATGGTCAAACAAGACTCAAAACATCCACAAATTGCTCAAGACTTCATTCAGCACACTTTACGTGAGTTCAGTTCATTGTTCGTTTATTTTTTCTCTGCAAAAAAAATATGAATATTACTGCAGCTTACTGAGTTTTTCTTTCTTTTTTTTTTTTTACATCATTTGCGATCATGAAGTCAGGAACGAAACTCGTAAGTCAGGTCACATTTGTGCTTCGTCGCATTTCTTAATGTGTGATGTATTCTTTCAATTCTAGAACATTTGGAGGCCGGCGCAAAGACCGTCACATTGGAAATGTCCATGTTTAAAAATGTACTTGAACTAGCTGGTTGCAAGATAAGATAAGGCTGCGCTGGTGTTGTTGATTCCGCACAATCCTGTCAGGACACACTGTAACATTTCAGACTCCAGAACGTCCGACAATCTCATCGCTACTCGCAGGAATTCATCTCTGCCTCTCTCAGATGATGCTGCAGTGTTTTCTTTGTAAAATATCTTGATTTATTATTCGTAGAAAGGGTTCTTTTTTTTTGTTTGTTTTTTTGTTTTTTTTTGTTTTTTACCCACAGGTACAGATGACGACTGACAGAACCCTTTCTACGATGGAACTTTCCTGTACGACTGAGAGCCTCCACAAGCATTGATTTATTATTATTATTATTATTATTGTTATTATTATTAGCAGGCATTGCTGCTCGTTATTCTGTAAATAGTGTTCATAGGCCAATTTTGTAGGTGAATATTTTAATAATAAAAATGTGAAAATGTCCTGTGGTTTTGTGTCTTTTCTTCTTATACTGGTCTAATAGCTTTGTTTACAGTAAAAGGACCTTTACAAACACAAGTAGAGCGCATATTTTTAAAAACACGACCAATAATCATGCTCATATATCGTATAAAATGTCAACAAATAAAGTTGGATTGAAATTGGATTTTTGTACACTCCCCTATTATTACTTATTATTCAGAAAGCATAAGGCCATGTTTTTTCAATCTAATTTTATAGTTATGTGAAAGTTCGCACTTGACTGTTTTTTGTGGGGAAAAAAGCTGTCTGGTTATGTAATGACTTTTTCAATATTTTTTTCCTTCCAAACTAGTCTTGTAATTGCTTAATTTATATTAAAGTTGGTTCTTTTTCTTTGACTTTATTTTTAATAAAAAGTAGTAGTCATACAAGAATGCCAGAATAAAAAGTGATTTTCCAGAAAACATTTTTTTCTGAGAACAACGTAGTATTTTCAAGGAAAAATAAGTCGTATTTTCCCTTTTGTGTGTGTGTGTTTTTAAAAGAAAACGAGTAATTTTACAAGAGAAGTCCAATGGTTCGCAAGAATGTCTCGTATTGACCACAGCAAGTAAAGGCGGCCTTTCGATTGAATGGTACTGTCGTCAACGTCGGAATTTCTAATACTGTAACAAATGCATTTTCGACCGTATATAGAATTGTTATGTCTCGTTAGACGATTATGCAGCAGAAATGATACTTAATCTACATACGTGGCACTAAAACTACGGTGATTGAATACATATTTGCCCATGTGGCTTAATACCTCGAAGCGGCGTTATCGCAAGTCTTCCTCCGTAATTACGGTTTTTCTATTTACCACAGCACTTAAAGGCGGCATTTGGACAGCCACCGCGGTGCGCGCCCCCGCGGTTCAGTGCGCGCTCCCCCAGTAAAAAGTGAGCTAGTGGCGGTGGGGAAAGAATCGGGACTGGACGACCATGAAGGGGGAACCCTGGATATCTTAGCCCAAACACTTTCTATCACCTTTTCCAGCCGTTTAGGCTAAATGTTCTTGTTTTAGTGTTTCATTGGTTTGTGCGGCGGGTGGGAAAGTCATAAATCTCCCAACTTGGAGCCCACAGCTTCACTGAAAAGTTAGCCAAATTAGCCCGCCTCGGCTAAATTAGCCCGCCTCGGCAAGCGAGTCGAGGACAAAAACAGGCCCGCCGCGGGGACCCTAAGAGGCGGCGAAGAGTGACGAGGAATGTCGCCCCTCGGGATTCAGAAGTTCACCTACGGATGAGAAAAAGGAGACTCGGGAAGGCGGACGACAACTTGCAAGCCAGACGATCGCTGCCATGTTGGTGTGGCTGCCGCTGCGCGGCTGCAGCTGCCCGTCCGAGGGTCGGCGATGGCCGCTCTCGGTGGTGCCGTGGCGGCCGCTGGAGAGCTTCTTCGTCGGGCTGTTGTTGTTGCTGCTGCTGGAAGAGGCCCTCGGCCTCGGCGCTCCAGTTTCGGGGCTCGACCACGACAACAGTGGCAACAACCGCAGTGTCAACATTTACATGAGTGTGGACGAGCTCAACAGATTACTGGGTATGGAAAACTTGTTTTCTTGGGGGGGACTGCTGTCATCCACTTGATTTCAAGAGAGTGGAAAGTCATTGTTAGCCATCACTTTTGCTTGATTTTATCCCACGCGTCGACTATTGAGAAAACACAACACCACAATATATTAGTCAATCAAATTAGATTGATAAAAACAAAGAAAAGTAACATTTGAAAAAAAAAAAATTTGAACTTGAAAATGTTTGAAAGTACAGTAATACCAAAACATGGGCGAAAGATGAAAATAGAAGAAAAATATAGTTTATATAGAGAAAATAAAAGCAAAATTATTAGCATTTATGATGATGTCGATTATTTTGTTGTCGGCTGGTTCGCACGTCCGCCTCGCAGTGCCGAGGTGCAGGGTTTGATTCCGGCTTCGGCCTTCCTGTGTGGAGGTTGCGTGTTCTTCCCGTGCCGGTGTGGGTTTTCTCTGGGTACTTCGGTTTCCTCCTACATTCGAAAAACATGCATGTTAGGTTAATTGAAAACTCTATATTGTCCCTAGGTGTGATTGTATGTGTGAATAGTTGTTTGTAGATGTACGCGCTGCGATTGGTTGGCAACCGGTTCAGAGTGTACCCCGCTTACGGCCTGAAGTCAGCTGGGGATAGTTTCCAGCACGCTAGTGACTCTAGTGAGGATAAGCGGATCACATATTGGCTGGATGGATTGATGAAGAATTTGCATGTTTTAATGTTCATTCTTTTATTAAAAACCAGGACATTAATCGTATACAGGCAGACCTTGCTTGATTTAAAATTGCCTTAATCATACTCAGATTTCTGTTGTCCTCCGTGAAAGCAGGCGATCTTGTTTCTTTTTTCCTTCAAAATGCAGTAAGACATAAACATTTGCTCTTATACTGGAAAGTAATGATCAACATTTTTGCCTATTTTTTTAACATGTTACAGACCAAATGAGTAGCTAAATCATAATTCAATTGTATTTGTGTATTTGCAGCACTGTCAATTTTAAATAATGTCCTAGTTCAGGGTGTACCCCAAGACGGCTGTGATAGTGGCGTAGGCGTGCATTTTAATGGTCTCAAGTGGCAGTATTGTGTTCGGAGCCTTGATAACAGATGTGGATGTGCTCTTCCGGACTAGAAAACGAATTGTGCCAGAAAAGTTACAGGGCTGGCCTCAGAAAAAATAAAATACAAACTAGTTTTCATATTAATGTGCCAGAGCATTGACCATCGCTCTGTGCGAAAATTTACTATTACTGCAACTTAGTAGGGGACCTTCTCTGCCTCCTGTTGCTCATAATTATGCTCTTAATCTTCTATGACTTCTTCCAAGAAAAGTTTTTATTATTATTATTATTATTAGTAGTAGTAGTAGTTTAACACATTTTTGGGTCATGGACAAAATGTATTTTTTTTCAAAAATAAAAAGGTCATAGTTTTTATTTGAAGTCATATATCTTTCAAGAATTTAAAAAAGCTAAACAAAAACTTTTTTTTTTTAATCATCTTAACAGAATAAAATTACAATTTTTTTTTTAAAATAGTTGCATTTAAAAAACAAGCAAACAATCCCCCGGCCCTCCAAACAAGCATCAGTAAGGTGCTGATTACGGTATGGAAGCGGACGGACTGAGATTGCAGCCTTTATTCCCCCCGAGGCCCCCCATTGAATCAAAGCAGGCAGCTGATGTATGGTCCTTTTGAAATGAAAAAAAAAAGCGCACTTTGTGGCTCTGAAAAGTTGCTATTTTTGTCAGCGCTTTTCACCCACGGTCCAATGACAAAATACAGACGAGGTTAGCATCCCATGCTAACATGCTACCAATCTCTTTATCTGTAGATGGTATCAAGAGCGCCGCACACAGGAGTGGCAGTGATGCTGTGATAGAAGTGTGACGTTTCGCACCTGACGTCTCTCCCACCCTGTTGCTTCCTGTCATTTATTGGTCAATCGTCCCCAAAAAGACTGGCAGTAATTTTGTTTCAAAAAAGGAGTGTACCTAGAAAACTGCGGTGTCGCATGCCATGCAGTGGAAAATTTGCGTGCTCCTAATTTAAATGCCGGGGCGCACTAGCGCAAAAAAGTTCATCTCGAGCCCTGCAACTGAGGCATTTCTACCTGTATGCTTTCATGCTGGCCTCCATTTTCTCTTTTTATCTTCTGGAGGTTTGTGGCATCGGGGGGAGACGAAAGGGACAACGTGTGGGCGACAAGAACGTCTTTGTTCGATGCAAACCGGACCTGAGCACCTGCTCGCTGCCGCCTTTCGTCCACCTGCTTTGGACATGCAATGCGACCCATTAGCATATTTGCTTCACGTCCATGTGAAATGAAGGTGGACTACCGTTACTTCACAAAAACAGATGGCGCAATTAAGGGGACTGCCACGTGCTTATATGTGGGCAACGAGAGCCATTTATTTATCACCAAGTGACCGCTCGTAAATCGAAAGTCGGGGCACTTTGTATTTCAAGGTGCCACTATAAATGTAAAAAAACGCTAATAAATGAGAGCATTAACGTAGGTCAAGTGCACTTGAATGGTCCTGTCTTGGGGAAGGTGACGTGTTGATCCCAAAGGAAGTGATCACTCAAAACAAAACCAACATGCTGCCACACTGGAATTCAAAACACCAAACCCCACTGGACAAACAAGCCTGTTAGCATCTCTGTTAGCCGCTAGCCTCACATGCTTGAAATTTGTCCATTGAAGAGTGAGGTTTTATCCCCCCCAGCCCCCAATGACAGGCTCATGTTGACTTTTCCTGTCACTGCCCATATTAACGTCGTTCAGGTTGAAGGCTAAAATACTGCCAACAAGAGAAGTGATCACTCTTCTGTGCCTGGTGCGCGCCGCTTTAATTGCTATCAAATCGCACCGCCGCCTCACGTCGTGACAAGCGAGGCACACAGAGTTCAAGCCAGAGAAAGGCAATTATCACAGCACCGGCCTCGTTTTCTCACAGGAGGCCCCATTAGACCACTCATTGTGTGTTTCACTCCAGCTGTTCATGAATCCTCCCGCCACCAGCACAACATGTCCTCAGTATAGCGACAAAGCGCAAACTGTTGCCGAGCTACACTCTTAGCTGTCAATAGCGCTGAACGGCTTGTAATTGCGCTGATTTTTCACGCAAACATTAACCTGTTTTGTGTGTGTGGAGGGGGGGGGGGAGAACAACCACAAAAAGG